AATTAGGTGTTGATAACAATACAGTGTACCTTATCTGTGACATACAGGGAACAATATTGATGAGGAAATGCTTCTATGATTTGCAGATAACCATGATGTCTACAGTTGTACCAAAGAAGGCTTTTTTTAAATGGTGAATGTGAATTATATCCACACATACTTTTTTTTTTTACATCCAAGGGGCTGCTTAGAAGCGGAAGTGATTTAATTCAAGAACAGTACCTGTAACTAGTTATTATAAAAATGTCAAAGAGGAGAAATTAAAACTTGTAAGAAATTGCTAATTTTTCTTGTCAGGAAGACATATTCTTAAAAGAATGCCCTGAGAAATGAAGCACTTTGCTTACAATAGAATCACCTAATAAAGTTGCAGCTATTCAGCAATATGTGCTTTTTATTCATGGGAAGCCACAGAGATTGTGTCAAAAGGATTCCCTATATAAAATAAAATTCAAAAGATAACTATACATTTGAATTTTGTAAATATATTTCTTGAGCCTTTTTAAAAAAAAGAAATGATGCCCATTGAATTGAATATCTTGGTCATCTGCTTTTGGCTGACTACAACTTCAGGTCCTTTTCACTTAAGCGTTTCTTTCAAATGTATTTTATTTCTCTCTCTCTCTTTTAAATTTTCTTAAATCCCATTGCTGAGGGAATGAATTCATCTGATATTGTATTTAGAATATCAATTCTAGAATGGACTACATTTTAATTTCCCGTTTTGTCAGTGTAGAGAGTTGCTATCAAGCAACTGATAAACTGTCATATATAAGGCAAAAAGAGTAGGAATAGGAATTCTGGGGATGATAGTTTTAGCAAGCAAATATTAAAATTAAAAAAGCCTTTTGTACTGTGTTAAAGCTTGATTAATTCTTGTAAATTACCTTTATCATTATTGTTGAGGATGGATTACTTAATTAAAATTTGTATGCTAATTCCATCAAGCTTTTGATTTTTGGCTTTTTCATCTAGAAAAGCAACTTAGCTGTTGACCCAAGCTTTGTTAGCAAACACCCTCCAGATGTCTGGAAATGAAACTCCTATCTTATCTAATGGGAGTCCAGTATATACAGTGATCTATGTATCTGGAGGTAATAATGCCCTGAAACATCTCAGGGTCTTCTGATTTCCTCGGTAACAACTACTTCTCTTCCCTCTGGTTCTTTTTAATTAAATAACATGAAGCAAATAGGCTGCATGTCTTAGCAGGCAACAGCATCATCACTGCACTTTAATTATCCAAGATATAATTATTTGGGAAAAATGGGCAGTATGATGAGATTGAAAGGAGGAATGTTGTAAAGCTGAAGAAATTATAGTGGTCAAAGGATGAGAAAATGTTGAACTATTAGATTAGAAATAATGTCAGTCATACGATGACCCATTTACCAATTGGCATGACTTAAGATGACTATAATTCTAGGCTCTATTATGGTCATAAGTCAAGAACTGCCTGTGCACAAAGCAAGGCTTGGGTAACTTAATAAAATACAGCTAGCTGTTTAAGTTGTTAAACTATTTAGTTGGTGACTAATGGAATATGCACACTATATATTCAGTTCAATATATTATTTAACATATTTTGTTTGGTGTCTTTGTATTATTAACGGTTACTGAAAAAATGTTAATCTATTATCCTTGTTTTAGTCATTTCATCCTTACTATAGATTTTAATAAGAATGATGAAAGATGGCCATTCCCCAATGCATTTAGAAATATTTTCTGCATAGTATAGGGGGAAAAAAGAATTTGCATATTCTCTAACACAAGAATATTTTTTCTTGATAATGTCAGAGGATATACTGTACTCTATACGTGGCTGAAGGAAGGATGTGGTGGCTCAGTGGCTAAGACACCGAGCTTGTCAATCAGAAAGGTCGGCAGTTCGGTGGTTCAAATCCCTAGCACCACATAACGGAGTGAGCTCTTGTTACTTGCCCTAGCTTCTGCCAACCTAGCAGTTCGAAAGCATGTAAAAATGCAAATAGAAAAATAGGGACCACTTTGGTGGGAAGGTAACAGCGTTCCGTGCGCCCTCCTAGCTCCTATGTGCAAGGGGAACCTTTACCTTTACTATTATTACCTTTATTGTAAGAGTACAACATGTGTACAATGAGATTGACTGAGCCTCCTTTCATACCTGGCTGAAGCAATATATATATTGTACAGTTACATAGGAAGCTCCACTGAATCAGTGACTGGAAAGAAGCTTTGTGGGCACAATCTCATCCAGGACCACGGAAACATAATGTCACTTTCTGTTTCTTTAGGGAGTCACTGAAACATACTCTCTCGGAATTCCAGAAATTAGCCAAGCATGAGGAGAGTTGTTTACCAAAACCTTGATATGCAATTTGAAAGGGATCTAGCCACAGAAAAGGACAGATGTTAACATACAGGTAGTTTGACTTACAACATTTCATTTAGTGACTGTTCAAAGTTACAGTGGCAGACTGTTTTTGACACTTATGACCGTTGCAGTATCCCCATGGTTACACCATCAAAATTCACCAATATAGCCCTTTAATTTGATACCAGGGCACCTCAGAAGCGATGTCCTTTGCCTGGTTCACACTCTGCTCGCTACTTCTCTCTCCAGCACAAAACTTAGTTTCCTGGAATGTTCTTTGTTGTGGCCATTTTAAGACCACTGCTACAACTTGCCTTTGGGAGGGATTTTCCTGTCAGGGAGGGGAGTTGCAGCTCCCCTTGACCCTCCAGGAGATTTCCCCCTTCTTCACCACCCCACCAGGATGGCTCCAGTCCCAATTGGGACCCTCCAGCAAGTGAGCTCAGGTGAAACCATGCACGATCGTGGATTCCGCACCAACACCGACGAACAAACCGGAAGTCCTTCTGACAAGCAATGTCAATGGGGAATTCGGATTATTAAACAAATGCAATGATTCACTTAACAACTGTGGCAAGAAAGGTCATAAAATGGGGCAAACTCATTTAATAAATGTCTCACTTAGCAACATAAATTTTGGGCTCAATTGTGGTCGTAACCCAGGAACTACCTGTACTCCATATTCAGATCATACTTCATCTCCTCCAAAGCAAAATATGTGCTTGCCTATATGAGTGGGAGTTGAAATTTTCTGAGAGAAACCTATGGACACTTTGAAGACTGTGAACTCCAAGGCCTGTCTGGATTGCTCTCCCAGATCATGCAGATTCCAATTCTTTGCCCAACTCCATTCCAGTTCTCCTATCCAAACAGTCTTAGGTCCAGATCATTGTATCAACTTTTTATTTTATTTTCTTTCTTTCTACTTCCCATTCATTATTTCTTTGGTTTTGACTATGTCTCATACTTTCAAATGCCTCAAACTTAACTTTTCCTGAAACAAAAGTCTGTTCTGTTCCTCCTTTTATCTTCCATTTCTGTTGTCTTGCAAAAGTCACCTTGAAGAAATAACCTTAACTCTGAAGTGAATTCTGTTGAAGAAAACCTTTTATTAGATTTTAAACTATATATATTTGAAGGACTACATGTACATTTATTTAGAGTCTAACACTCATTCTAAACGTAGCAGGTTTTTGAAGGCCTTGTTAAGCAGGCTAAGTGTAATGTAAAGATGATTCAATCAGAAAGAAAACTGCCAATAATCATTAATTTTGATACAATCAGAGTAAATCATATTAAACCAGTGGTGGGATTCAATTTTACTACCGGTTCTGTGGGCATGGCTTGGTGGGCACGTGGCAGGGGAAGGATACTGTAAAATCTCCAGTCAGAGGTGGTATTTACTGGTTCTCTGAACTACTCAAAATTTCTGCTACCGGTTCTCCAGAACTGGTCAGTATCTGCTGACCACCTCTACATTAAACCATCAGTTTGAAAATAGCATTGTACCCAAATTATGTTACTATATGTTTACCAGTCTCTTACATAACCTTTTTGTTTAGTAGTGAAGCCATTCTTTAGCTACATTCTTTTAGCAAAGAAAAGGAGTTTGTCGGTTTCAAGTGCAACACTCACTTCTGAACTACTAATGCATTCCCTGTTGTGCTTACTCTATTCACATTATCATTTGTTCTAAGGAACATATTTCCATGTCATTCAATTCCTTTGTACCCACTGAAATAATCACTAGAAACATGGGCAGACAAATCAGAGGGAGGTTTGTCTGGAAATCACGTTTTAAAATTTTAAGGATTTGTGGCATTATTCCAAAGATCTTTAATGAAAAAAATTATTGTTATCCCTTCTTCAAATAAACTGAAAAGAGAGGTGTTGAGATGTATAACATACCTATTTCCACATGCAATCAATCTATTCTTATAAATACTCCATACCATTATCCAAGAGAAAAAAGCCCCTTTTAAATTACCATGGAAATTTACAAGGGATGTCACTTCTGTGAGAAGTAAAAAAAGAAGAAATAATTATTCCTGTAAAAGAAAATGTAAAAGGATCAACATATTTCTCTTCTATATGTTCCTCTTCTATATAACCTTAAAAACCCCAGTGAAACATTAACACAGACAGAAATATTGACGAGATGAAATCCATTCAGCATAAGCTTAAGCAGAAGTCTTATTTGAGGATAGTTGTTATGATGACCCAGAAAAGATACTAGTTATTGTAAACATGGCAGGATGTAGCAGCTATTAAGCAAATGTTAAGTAAATGATTGTTAAGCATGTTACCTTGGAGTTAGACTGTGAACCCAGGCATCATTCTAAAAAGCATTTGACAATCTTCCAATGCTCTTTTTAACCAATGGGGCAGTGATGAAAGTGGGACTCTGTACAATCGTTTGTCTCATTGCCCTTGTGCCTCTACCCAGAAAAGGACAAGATGCCAGCTTTTGCAAAAGGCGATAAGGCTCTGGAAATTGTTCAAGATGTCTCCTGTTGATTCAAAACTGAGAATTTGTAATCTCATAATGGTGCCTAAACAGGGACTTGAAGACTGCCCTCTGGAGAGGAGGGAGCTGCCTTTAACCCAGAGGCGTGCCATGCTGAGTTCAGCGTCTGGGACAGGAGGCCCCTTCTTCTCCAGTGGTGGATTGCTCTTCACCAAAGTGAACTGACGGGGAGATCTGAACAACCAGGGAGGTGTCGCTTGAGCAGGAAAGTCCAGCGCTGGCGCAGGTGAGTAGGTACTGGGTACTGAGTAGTAAGATTGAAAAGAGGAGGAAAAGGCCAGAGAGTTATAAACAAAATGTCTATAGATATGTACCTTATGCTTCTGGTAGAAAAACAACCCTAGTTCAAATGCTGGTCACCTGACGTATCTAGAAACCTTTACTATCTGCTAAAAACAGGTGTTCCAGATCAAATGTTCACAGGTGCCACTTGGGACAGCTTTTTTTATCTTAGCCTCTGTTCATATTAAGGGTTTGTATGATGTGGAGTATGGTTAAACTAAATTATGGAGATTTTTGTAATTGCAAAAACAGACACTTGATTGCACAGAATAAAATTGAATAATCTTAATGAATGAAAATAAATGGACTCAGACACAGTGAAGGAATAACCATCCCCCAGTAATAATTACACATTTTGCAAAGATACAGTTCTCTTCTTTCTTTTACTGTCTTTGTGTTTTCTCATTAGCTTTCAGTTCTGAATGTATGAAATCACATTGCCTTTACAGAGGTGATAAAATATAACCCTTGAGGCTTCAGGGGCTAGCTTTCTAGTATCATTTTCATGAGATGATTTGGAACAATGTCAGGCAGATTTTAAATCAAAGATGCTCCATTCATGAGTGTGCTGCAGTGAATATGTGAGCACTTAATCATTGGGAAATGGCACTGTGTAGTGACAATTCCATCCCTTTTCCTTTTAGCAGAATTGCTAAATCATTTTGATAATAGCATTTAGGACTAAAGTGAGAGTCCTTGGAGAGGAGTTTGGCTTTTTGTCTAATTGGATTGCCTTCATTCTTTTGGTCTTCAAATGTCATTAATCTCTTCTAGACAAAATAACTAAGCGTGTAATGATTATTAAGGATAATGCAACCTGAAATCTCTGTGTGACTTGATTTTATGGTGCAAAAAATCAAATACATACTAGATTTCATTTCGGTATATTTGACATCTAATTTTAGGCTGATGGGCATATATTTTTAGTGTAAGATGAATGGAAAAGGGCTTGATGTTCTTGATGTGCTGTGCAGTAAATGTAAAGAACTGAACAGATGCGAAATTTATGGGTTCTGTATGCAAAATGGCAGAGTTACATATAGCTTTGCCTTTGCATGATTGGATGATTAGTTTTCAACAATGGAAATATGCTGGAGGAAAGCACGTTGCAGGCTTGGAACAGAAACTCCCTCCCTTGGCAACTCCCTCTAAACTATGCTGAAATTTGATCATCTTCTGAACTGAACTTTTAGTGCAGAAAGTTATTCAGTGCTTTTGAGAGAAAAAAATATTTTTCTCTTTTATACAATACTTGATACTTTTATCTATGGCAGGGGTGTCAAACTCAATTTCATTGAGGCCACATCAGGCTTGTGTTTGACCTCGAGTGGGTGTGGGTGGGTGTGGTCAGGGTAAGCGTGGCTAGCTTAATGTCACTCATGTTGGGGGGTGCATCTGTGTGGCCCAAGCACTCTGCCAGCAAAAACAGGTTCATGGGCTCTGTTTTTGGCCGGGACAGCCTCCTGTACCCCTCTACTAGCAAAATTGGAGCTTGGTGGTGGCAATACACGGCCCTCCTGGGCTCGTTTTTGCTTGCAAGGGACATTGTGGGCCAGTTCTTCACTGTTTCCAGGGCAGCCCCATGGGACAGATGTAAGCACCCCATATTTGACAACCCTGATCTATGTCATCTGATGTCTGTGTTGTGTGCAGGAGCATTTCTGTATTGCACCAGCCACATGTAAATTATTATATTTTAACCTGTGGGAAATGCGTAGATAGTTACGTTTCTTAAGCAGGAATCATATTAAATCATTTGTGTGGTTCTCTTAAGAATAAACAACTGTTAATTTACTTTCTTCTTCTTTTTAGGTTTTGTTTTGACACTGAATGTGGTTTGGAGTTGCCCGCTGCTGTTATCCAGCACATGTACCTTTTTGGACAGAACTATAGTGAATACACCAATCAGTAGACAATGGAGAGGGTTGCAAAAGGGGCTCAAGACATTGCCAAGACGGCCAAAAAACAGGCAGTAAAGAAAGCAGGAGATAGAGCTCAAGATGGCTACACTGAAAGATCTTACAATAGATTCCAGGCTGAAGAAGAAAATGGTTATTATAACCATGAAGGAGAAGGAAATGAAGACGAAGGATCAAGTGAAGCAACTGAAGGACATGACGAAGATGATGAGATTTATGAAGGAGAGTATCAAGGAATCCCAAGTACAGCACAGAACAAAGATGGAACTGCAGCTTTAGGACAGCAAATCACAGGTGTTTACAAAGATCGAAGTGAATTGGAGACAGAGCGAAAAGCTGATGAAGAAGAGCTAGCACAGCAATATGAATTAATCATTCAAGAATGTGGGCATGGACGTTTTCAGTGGGCCCTCTTTTTTGTCCTTGGAATGGCACTAATGGCAGACGGAGTAGAGGTTTTTGTGGTTGGATTTGTATTGCCCAGTGCTGAGACAGATTTGTGCATCCCCAACTCTGGATCTGGATGGCTTGGTGAGTGTTATTTCTAGTCTGTCACACTAAATCATAATATATTAGACCAATGCTATCTAGATTTTGGTAGGACAAAAAAAGTTGTGTTTTTCTTTTCGTCTGCATTAAAATAAGCAAAAAAACAAGTTGTTCCTAATTGTCCAGTTGCTTAAAATTGAAATCTAAGATGTAAAAGTCTTGAATAAATGTACTGCCAGGCTATATAGCATAAAAACAAGTATATACTGTAAGATATTGTAATGAGAAATTAGAAAATGTCTTATTCTGCAGTATATTGTGAAGGGTAAATCAGGCAAAGTTCAAAGGCAACGGTACTAAATTGTTCTGTTACAACAACAATCAAAAGAATCAACTCTTCTTTCCACCCAGAAGTGAAAAACTACACAACCTATTATGCTGCATGAAGGAAGAGATTTAGGAGGTATCCTTTTATTCTGTCATAGGATTAGCTTCTTAACACACTGAAGTAGTGGGATTTCTTCATTAGTATCTTTTCTAATTCTTGCAATAGTAAATAAACATGGAGGGTATCTGCAGTCAGGCATTTTATTTGGAAAAATGCCCACCTGTACCTCCCCATGGGTCAGGGATAAACTGGAATACAAGCATCATCATATGGGAGCACTCTCCCTTATTTGCCCTATGGAGAGAAAAAAAATCACATTTTGTGCCTGCTGTTTTGTGAGGAAGCAAGCTGCTTATGAAAATATCCTTATCATGCTCTCAAAACTCCGAATGTGGCCACTGTCCCTCAACTTACCTTTCTTATTGTCCTTTCTGGATATTATAAAAATCTATCCAGAATTTATCAGCATTTTACATGTGACAAAGCAAAGAAATATTGGAGTAGTGTTCACATCTTAATACAGAAGATTCTTAGAGTGAATATAAAGATAAAATCAGACTTTTCTTTTAGGCTTAATGGATAACGAATTTGGGGAAAAAAAGGAACTTGGATGTTATATATATTGATGGCAGCAAGATTACTTTATGCACAGCCAATCAGAACACGGCCAACCCCCCAACCAATCACAACACAGCCAAACCCCCTACCAATGAGAACACCCACCCACCCAATCAGAACACAGCCAAGCCCCCACCCAATCAAGTCACACCCCCACTAGCAGTTAAAAGGAAGAAGCAACTGCAAGCTCACATCACTATGAGAAGCACAGAGCCAAAGACAGAAGCCTGAAGATGATGAATGAGACTTCATCGAAACGTTGCCTAGATACTTCGAATCTTACGCGGGAGAAAACCCGAACAACCAAAGATCCACGTATATGTATATGTATACATATATAAATAAATAAAAAGTTGAGCTTTTATATTACTACTTATTCTACTGCACCAAAAGGAGTAAGACATCAGTGCTTTTCTTTTTTCTCATCTATGCTGCGACGAGAGTCAGGAATAGGATATGACTCCTCCCTCTGACATCATAGAGCTGAGTCTGCCACTATAAAAAGCCTGCCCTTAGCTGGCTCATCATCTTTGACTCAGTTTCTTGTCTTGGAGTCTTGTCTCTGGAAGGGGTATTAATGAGATAAAAAGATATTTTAGCAAAAGCGATTTCTATTCCAAGGTTTTTTAGCCTTCTTACTGCTCCTGGGGCTCTGATTCGAGCTATAACACCAGGAGAGCAGGAATCAGCTCTCCTGCAGCGCCAAGGCTTCGGCGCTGCCTCGCTGTGGGACTGGGAGCTCAGGGAGCATTCTGCTGAGCCTCCCACACAATCCCAAAGATTGTGGAGACTTGTTGGTCTGCTGCTAATTTAGCCGTTTCACAGCTGACTCTGGAGCTCAATTCTGCTGCTTCACAGTTGTTCCTGGCTATTGCTGATCATTGGTAAGCACCTAAGGAGCAAAGGAGATAGTGAGGCCATCCCAGGGCTACCACACATGGTGAATGGCCATTTTGAAAATCGGGTGGCCATTTTGTCTCTCAAAAGAAGACATTAATTGAGGCTTCTGGTTTGAGCTTCTTCAGTGACAGACCGAAATCTTTCGATCTGTGCTCACTGCTGGAGCGCCCCGAGCCGGCTGGTTTCGGGGCTAAGCCACCCCGTAGACGTGGTAAAGAGGGGGGAGACTGCCAGCAGGGTCGAGGAGAGCCACATCTCTCCTCCCCAGCTGGTCATTACTCCCTTTCCCGAAGGCAGTTGCAGCAGTGGTCAGAAATGGCCACCTCAAAGAAGAACTTGACCAGAAAAGAATGTGCAGGAGGAAGATAAGAAGAGAAAGTTTTGGCTGACTGTGTCGAACTGGAAAAGTAACAATATAAGGTACCCTGGAATTTGAATTATAAAGAACAACATTGTTCCCAAAGAAGACTTTGAAGCTGCGAATAAGAGAGGGAAGTAAAAGGATTTGGGTTTTTTTCTTTTCTTCCCCATATTGACAATTAAGAGATTTAAGCAAGAAACCGGCAAAAATCCACTTTGACATTAATAGGTATTTAAGCTGAAAATAAAATGTCAAAAGGATGATAAAGATTTCTGGATTTTCAAAAACTTTTAAAAGAAGGAAAAAAAAACAAAAGGGTGGGATCTGGAAAAATAGAGGAGACCACCTGGAAGTGAAAGGAATTAACAGTGAAATTTTAACAAGATTCCTAAAAGATACATTTTAACTGAAACATTGTAACAAGAGAACCCCAGGAAGAGAAAGTGGAAAAAGAAGCAGGAAGAAACTGTTTTGGATTATTTGGATTACTTAGTGGTTTTTGGATTTTTGGCTATTGTATCTAAAGGACTAAAATTAATCGGGTGGTTGTTTAAAAGTTTTTAAAATGGTATCACTCTTGGAAGAATTGAGAATGGAACTTAAAAAACAGAAAGAAGATGCACAAGAAAGAAGAGGTTCTTTTGGCTTCGTATTTCAATTTTTAGAAATGGAGATCCTGAACTATGAGAAACAACAAGAAATGCCTGTAGAACAAGAAGGGCGGGACAAAGAAGAAGCCATTTTCAATGACCAAGTATTTCTATGTGGGGAAAAGAAAGGGAAGGGGGGGAAAGAGAGTGAAAAATTTAAGATCCGAAAAAACAACCCCAAAAAAGAATAGTTTGAAAAGTAATTATAACATTAGGAAGAAACAGAAGAGAGGACTACAGAAGAGAGAATCAGAATTAGAGAGAGAAGGGGTCAAAAAGGGAAGGGAGAAGAAGAGGGAGATTATAAAGGACAGAATCGGGACATAGAGAAACAGGGAAAACGTACAAGACACAGAGATAATGGGTGAAAACTTAATTGAAAGGGGGATTCTGCAAGGGTACATAAGATAGTATTGTTATATTAGAAATAGAAATGAACTTTGAAAATATGAAACTAGTGTGATTAAAATGATAGATAAAATACTCATTGTAATGTAATGGAATGTTTAATAAATAAATGAAATAAAAAGAATGAGAGAATGAAATGAGGAAAGGAGGGGAACATTTTCATTATTATAAATGTGTTATAAAAATTAAGTGAAGAGGAATATGAAAGAAACATGAAAAAAATACGGAAATACTATAAGTGTTCCTAGAAGTATGATATCCTATTGAAAATAAATGTTAAAGATGTCAAAGATTATAACTAACGTTAATGATAGAGCTGAATTGGAATAGAATAAGTATTTTATTTATTATTGTTATATATAAATCTTCTCTTTAAGAACTTAGTGCGTATTTTAAGAATGTACCAAGCAGAATTTGACTGGAAGTTATGTGTTATATTGAATGTTATAATTGTATAGGCATAAATTGAAGTTTAAATAAGAGTTGAAAGGATAAAAATTAAAAGATACAAAGGTATCATGCTCCAATTAGTAATTACAGGGGAAAATTTTGTTTAATGAGAAAAGAAAATATGAAATTGAAACAGGACAGACAAAAGTATAAATATGATGACTGGAAAGGCATTGAAACTTAGAAAAAGATATATATAATTGAAGTTAGAAAGGAATGAGATAATTAAAAATAAGATTGAGAAAACTAAGGGGGATTGAGAAAATTAAGGGAAGGGAAAAATTATTGAGAAAATGTTAAAATAGTAGTAAGATATGGAATAGAACACAAAGATGAATATGAAATTGAATTAGTGTCTGTATGGAGAAGTGATAACCCGGGATGCTATTTTCAAGAAAAGAAATTTTACTTGTATTGTGTTTTGTGAAAATCCAAATAAATTTTTTATTTTAAAAAAAGAGGACATTAATTGGGCCTCACAGTTTCCACAGCTCACCTGGCCCATGCTGCAGGCAGCACTACCACAGGGGAAGCTCACAGCACCTCTTGTGCCTGCTCTGTTTGCGGAATGGAGAGGGAAGTAACCCAATCAGACCTGAAGGGCCTGGAAGAAGCCCAAGATTCTCAAGCCCCTATGAGGAAGAAAAGAAGACAAAGTGGCCATTGTGCAAATAGAGATGTTGCAGCTAAGATCAGAGCCAAGGCCCTGGCTCCCAAATCGAAGCTCAAGGCTGAGAAGAGAAGGCATGCTGCTCTGGAAAAGCAGTTTGCAAAGACATTGGCACAGATGAGAGACCAGATCCAGCAGGCTTCTCAATCGGGAGGTGCAGGTTTACCCAGAGGTTTCTATAAGGGAGGGGGAAATGTTCCCAGCTCAGCTAGCCACCTTTTAGCTTGGTCTCCAGAGAGGGTGGAAGTAGAGCTTTTACCCCAGGATTTAAGCAGATCAGGTCCCTCCTCTAGACAGGCAGCCTGGGGCCCTGGTCCCTCTTTCCCCATAGGCCAAATGATCTAAGGGGGCCTCAGGCCTAAGCCTGAGGCAACCTATACTCCCACTGCTGTGGGCTTGCATCCGGTGGACCCCCCACAGGGAACAGGCCTGATGACATCAAGGAAATGGTCTCAGTAGCCATAAGGCAGGGCCTGGCTGAGGGGCTTCAACAACTTCTTCACCCACTAGGGAGAGGACAGTCCTTGTTTCCTAACTTGTCCCAAGGGGTCTCTTCATCCCACAAAGGTCTTCCCAGACAACAGTTCAGTTTCCATCCTACCCAATCAGATTGGGGCGAGGATGAGGAGAGGGATTATACCAATCCTTCTGAACACAGTCGCTCCTCTTATTCTGAGAAGAAGGAAGGTAAGATCAGAGATCCTAATTTGTCAGAGGAGGAGGAATTTAGATCTGATCTACCTCCCTTAGCAGCAGTTTTTAAACCATTATTTAAACCGTTCCTGCACAAAGCTTTGGTCACAGCCCAGCTAATCCCTGAGGAGGTGGCTCCAGAACCACAGGTGGCCTCTTCTAGCCACAGTGATTCTCTGTTCTCCAAGACAGTGGTCCATACAGAAGTACTTCCTTCCCCACTGGTATTCCTTGATTTAGTGAAGGAGCAGTATACCTCCCCTGGGTTGGGGCCTCGTCCTTCATCGTACAACAGGAGATTTTATAACATGGGCCTGGCTTTAGCCAACGCCCTGCTAGTGCCCTCAGTGGATGCTCCAGTGGTAGCCTCGTTCTCTTCATCAGGTACTCCACTGAGCCAGAGGATGTACTTAAGGCAGAGGACAAAAGGTCTCAGCAAACCCTCAAGTACACCCACCAGGCAGCGGCTTGGGCTATCAGGGCATCTATGGCAGCTTCATTTTTCACGAGATCTTCGCTGGCTGTACCAGCTGCAGGAGAGACTCCTGTCCAACGATTTCAGGGCACATCAAGATCTTAAGATAATTACGACAGACAAGATAATTTGTTCCATATTTCCTTAGCTGTTGTTTTAAAGCAAATCAACCAAAAATGGAGGATTTTCATTGCAGGCACAATTAATCCTAGAGAATGAGGAACATTTATGTGGTTTCATGGCATATGCCACTGAGAATCTCTTTAAAACTTTAGTAGATTTCAGACTAGAGAAACATGTTAATTTGCTTCTATGAAAGGATGAATTTAAGACTTATGTGCGTATTGCTTCAGCATTTAGTATCAAACATCTAAAAGAAACATTTGAGGGACCTCAGTTACAGAGAAAACGATAATCTGCCTTGCGTGTTATTACACATACTTAACCAAGTCTGCCTTATCTCAGCCTTGTCAGTTAGGATTCCCTCTTAAATATCAGCAGGAACTATTGGGTAAGTGAAGATACATTCAAATGATACTTTTGACACTAGTAGTAAAAGTATCTGTCAGTTATTTCACATCATTTCTTGAGATTAATTTAGTATTGGTAGCCCTGTTCAGTAATTGCTCCATCACAGTATTTAATCTTTATGTGTTTTGATGTGTACATGTGTATATTTTCTTTCATGATTAAACTACCTTTCAGCAAATGCTGTTTTTATAAAACTCTTGCTGTTTGCATAAACAGCAATAATAATAATGAAACACATTTGTGCAAATTAGATTGAATAATGTGGTCACTGTCTAGTCTTTTGGCTGTTCAAGGGGTAACGATGATTCAGGGATAGGCAACCTGGTAAGCTGAATTTCTAAACTTCCGGTATGCTGAATTTCAACTATCAACCTTCCCAGCATTGCGAATTGCAACAGATTTTATACTAGATATTGTCTATTTCTGTAAGATGATAATTAAGCTTGGAAATTCTTCCTTTGATTCTGAATGTATTTTTAAGCAACTCTGTTTAGCTGGCTCTTGGATTTCCTCCCCCGCTTAGGGATGTAGTCTTTACTAATTGCCCATTTGTTCAAAGATGGCATCCATTTGTTCGAAATTACGATGGCATTGAACAAGTGTTAGTTATGGCCAGTCCTTGATGTTATAGCCGCTGCAGCGCCCTTATGGTCACATGATCATGATGTGGATCCTGAACAAGCCATCTGCATTTATGACCAGATTCATTTACATTCCCACCCACCCACCTATCTCCTCCTCATCACTGTCTTTTAGTTTGTCTTGTACTGTGCTGCTCCTCCTGCCCTATACTCTTGCTCTGGAAAGGTTTTGTACAACCGACAGCTATCCCATGACAGGCCAAGTTGGGCATGCCTCATCAACAGTGGGAGTTAAAATGACAAAGGTCAGTTGGGGCAGTGGGATGCAGTCTAGCCAAAAGGGCAGAGATGGGGGAGAAATAGGTTGGTGGGAAGAGTTGAAGTGGAGGTGAATGTAGTTGGACAGAAGAAAGTGAGCTCCTGGCTTATCAATGGTGCATTCCTGGCCTAACAATTGCAACCAGGACTACCAAAACTTCTGTCACCAAGCAGTGCAATTACATGGTATTTTACCTAATGACAGCATCATTTAGCAAAGGAAATTCCAGTTCCAGTAAGTTGCATTAATCATGAACTATCTGTATAGTTTATACATTGCATTTTCTTGTGTCTCTTTGTTTAGGGAGACTTCAGAATGGATTTAAAGAAAGTCTCCTATGAATTAGCCTGCTAAGGCTTGTAAGTGTATGCACTCTTGGTTTAGATGTTAACATCAAAATATTTATGTAGTATATATGTCATTTTCAAGTACTCTGAAATCCAGAATCAGCAGAAAAAATACGGATAAGTGCAGATGAGCATCTGAGTAGGAAAGCCATTGATTTGGTTGACTCTTGGAATTTTTCATTTTGTAGTCATCACTGTACTTTCTATTGCATTCTCTTATAATCTTATGAGTGTGTTTAAAAATATAATATCACCAAATATTACAGTGCTAAAATGAGATTACTTTTTGATGATACTACTTTTAATTTACCAGATTTTCAAATACATCATTGAGCTTTCACTATATAAATACAGTATACAGAATGAGAATTTTCCATCGACCATCGTGAGCCTCTTTGGAAAGCTAATTAATTATATTGTATTTCAATTTTTGGAGTTGATAATCAGGTAGTCCTCACCTTCTGACCGCCATTGGGACTGGCAGCTCTGTTACTAAGGGGAGAGATTATAAAGTGAAACATCACTTGACCATGCCTAACATACAACATCAGTTTTGGCTGCAGTCATGAAGTAAATCATTCACAGTTATTAAGCACAATATCACATGATAGCAACTGCAACTTCCTGTTCGCTTCCCCAGTAACTTTGTTGAATCACTGCAGTTAAGTTAGTAACACTGTTATTAATTGCATGGCTTTTCCATTGACTTTGCTTGTCAGAAGGTCACAAAGCGTGAACTCGTGACCCCTGCTCTTGTCTTCCTCTCCTGCTCTTTCTTCCTTCCTCATTGAAGTAGGGAAGCTGTAATTATTATTTATTTTTGGCAAGCAGTCAGGAAAAAGGTATATTTGCAAGTGAACCTTTATGTATTGGGATAGAGAGAAATACACCATTTCCTGACCCTCTCTAAGGTTCAGTGGAACATATGTGACAAACTGTTCATGCATAGATTTCACCTGGCAAACTATACATATTTGTTAGAGGGATGGTATTGCATCTGATTTTTGAAATCAAGTCTGGAGAAATAGGTCTTGTCAGACTCTTATTCTCGTGAAAGTGTGTGGCCATGGAGGAATATAAAGTATAGGCTATAATTTGAAATAAATGCCCAGAAAATTTAAAAAAAAATAACTTTAAGCGAAATCTTATTTAACTATTTGTGTTTGGGCTGTTTTATATAGAAAGCCTTCTAAATACAGTGAGATGCTAGTCTCCAGCTCAGCTTTTCAGAGGCATTCCATCCTTCAAAAGGCCACAAAAGCAGTTGTAAATATGTGAATGTACATATTTTCACAACAGATTGTGAATTCCTTGTGACTAGTTTCAAATTCTACCTGATTTTGGAACAAAGATATTAATAATTTATGCTGATGAAGCAACTGCAGTATTTCCTTAGCCATATTTTTAGGAGACGTTGAACTTGTAACTTGAGATGTAATTCTTTTAGAATATACTGGACAGCCCTGTAACACATTAGGTTATCCTTTGAGAGAAAGGTCATACAGTCTGAGTGACCAGAATTAAAATTAAATTTTAGACTCATCAATTTTTTTTACAATGTTGGATGGTCCTGTGATCATCTAAGAAGAGTACGTAAATATATATTTATAAAATACTGTATATAAATCATGATCATGTCACCACGGGCATACTGCACAGAGACAATTTTGTGAATGAAATTTCAGTTTTACAGGAGTAGTGGGTCCCAGATTTTTTATACATTTTGGAAATTAACGGACTTTTAGGTATCTTGATTCAAAAATTGTTATGGTATGATGCATCATTTGGGCTAACTTGAAGGTACAAACAAAGATAAACACAACGAAAGTTTTACTAGTATATAGATTTATAGTGGAATACATTATACTGGTAATTTCTTATTCCATTATTACTGTGGTGTTCCTGTATTAGCTTGCATTGTGCTTTATTATATCTACGTGCATCTGATTGAATAAATGGACAAATATAATAAATATTTAAATCTTAGATATTTTTGCAAATAAATATATATTTAATATGAGAAATAAAGGGATAGGGAATTGTTCCCATAAATGGATATGCAAATTATTCATTTGCAATCATTCTAAATAAATGATACCACTGGTTAATACTAAGAACAGGTATGTATCGTGATAGTACTGTATAATCCTATACATTATTTTTTTTGTGTCTGTTTCAGGTAGCATAGTATACCTTGGGATGATGGTAGGAGCTTTCTTCTGGGGAGGCTTGGCAGACAAGGTGGGAAGAAGACAGTCTCTTCTGATATGTATGTCGGTCAATGGATTCTTCGCTTTCCTTTCATCATTTGTCCAGGGCTATGGCTTCTTTCTCTTCTGTCGATTACTCTCTGGATTTGGGTAAGCTCTTCTGCTTTCTTCTATTGTCTAAACTATAGTACACTTGTATGCTGATCTTTTTCAAGGTGAAGTGATACTAATGGTTATTCCTTTTCAAAAGATCAAATTTGAAAGTAGGTTGCTTCAGATATTTTTACATTCTCTTAGTCTACACTTTTGGCTATAGTCATCCATATTATTCAGGTATAGCAATGTTATACAGCTAAGGAAGAATAAAGGAGATAATTCCAACAGCGATGGCTGAAAATCCTGAAATAGATTAGCCAGTTGTGTTTGGCTGATTTATTTGTGAAGCAAGACTTTCTGAAATGGTCATCAATGAGGGTCTGGAGAGAAAAAGAAGGGGGAAGAGGAATCCCTGGAACAAAAATCTACCCAAAGCAGATGGTTTTGGAAAACAGAAGAAGAGTCTGAGAAATCAACTGCCAGTCATTAGCAGTCTGAGCAAGAGTGCTAGTTAGTGTAATTACTCTTGTCTTATCTCTAAACAAGAAGTAGGAATAACCAAGTTTAGACACAAATATAAATACTGTACTTATGTAATTCATTAATACATTATACTATACGCATAACAAGTAGCAGCAATTTTACCAGTAGCAGGAAATTTTATTTTTTACCAGTACCAAGGTAACAACTTACTACATCAAACTTTTATGATATCACAGGATTGTGTCAGAAATTATCAATTTAGATGTGTTTAATTCATTTCTGTCAATTGACCTACATGATAATGTTGATTTGATAGCATTTGTGTAAGACCATCCTCCCATTTCTTCAAACAGCATTGCCCTTTTAAATATTCTAAAATTTGTATAACTTTACAATATAGGACACTGGATTAACCTCCTAGAGATATGCAACGCTTCAATTTTTTGTTGGTTTTGGAAATCTTTCAAGATCTGGCTCTGTTCCCATGCCTGAAGTTAGAGCTATGGAGGAGCCCCTGCTGTTGTTTTGCTCTAGACAATTAAATCATTTTTAATTTGTTTTAATATATGTATTGGGTTAGGGTTGTATACACCCAGAATGTTCTTGGAGTTGAGCAGCCTTAATAAATCCAATAAACAAAACAAAAGTTCATTCTTCCTTGGAGGAGATATCAGGAAGTGAAGAAGAGACATAGAATATCTGTTTTAATGAAAGGGTCAGATCAGGGGTGAAGAAAAATCATCTTGGTGTCCCAAAGGTGTTTTTGCAAGAGGCAAGTAGACTTTCTTGTTTTTCTTTGAAGACGCTTCATTTCTCATTCAAGAAGTTTCTGTGACCTGGATGACTGAGAATCTCCATAGACATTTAGCTATCTGTTTGGGATTAACACAGGAATGGCTGCTGGGGGGTCGCAGGGGTTCAGGAGAGCCCCTAGCTAAGATTCTGTGGAGTTTGGAGAACCCCCAAATCCCACTCCTGGCTACCCCCCGCCCCTCCCAGAAGTCCCCATGTGGCCCGTTTTGGATGCAGGTAAGTGCAGGGCGCGCGCAGAGGGTCAGGGAGTGCAAAAATGCACCTCCCGGAAGTTTGGGAAGGCTAGAAATGGGCCTTTTTCTGGCTTCTGGAGAGGCCGTTTTTGCCTCTCAGGGAGGCTCGAAAAAGCGTCTGGAGCCCAGGGAGAGCAAAAATGCCCCCCCCTGCCATGGTGCAGGAGGCCGGTTAGGCCATGCCCGCCATGGCCACGCCCACCCAGGAACTGGGCAGAGGACCTTTTGCTAAAATTTTTGAATCCCACCCCTGGATTAACACCCTTTGAATGGTGTGAATGGATTTCCAGAAAAAATGAAGACAACAGGAACCATTTGCGCTTCAGTTTGAGATGCAGAAACATAGACTCATCCCCAACAGCCTGTGCCTGTGTTCAACAGTGAAGGGTCGCAAGGCAGAAAACATCCTGCAGAAAGCACAGCTCCACAATACAGTCCTTTCAGCAGTTCCAAGAAGTCCCCACACCCATTTGCACTATCAAGTGATCCTGAGGACACAGACAAACCTCCAAGTGGCCTCAATGACTCTCTAAAAGAATGCAAATGACTAGCTGTCTGCAAGGTATATAAATCCTTCCATACCCCACAATCCTGTCAGAGCTGGAAAAGCTTAGATGGAAAGCAAAATGTCTTAAAAGAAAAACAAGTCCAGTTACCTATTGAAAAAGCACCTTTGGGACAACCATGACCCAGATGACTGAGAATCTCCACAGACAACCATCAGAGTACTTGGCAGAGTACTATTGTCAAAGATTTATCAGTTTTAATATATACATTTAATTTATTCTAACTAATTGGCCTTAATGATAATATTGATTTACTAGGACGGTGACCACAATATGGTTGACTTTTGTCTCAACATATGCCACACAAAAATCATCACAATGAAGTAATCCCCAATTATAACTTTAAAAAGGCAACTATGATCTTATAGACAACGATCTCTCATCCCTTGATTGGCAATCTCTATTCACTGGATGCAATACTGTTGAAGACCATTACAACATATTTTTACTTGAAGTTAAAAGAGTCATCAAACTACATGTACCAACAACAACTCCCAAAACAAAAAAACAAAAAGAAAACATTACCCATAACAATAAGGAAATTTCAATCCAAAAAGACATCACTTTGGCGGAAAAACAAATCTGGTCACGTTGCCACTTTCAAAAGCCAATACAAAAATTTATGCCACCAGATAAAGACTGAATGCACAAATTATCACATTAAACAAGAGGAAAACCTTCTACGTACCAATTCCACCCACACTTTTTACAATTTTGTAAACAACAAACTAAAAGACTCAAGGTCCATCCCACCCCTGATGGGACCTAATGGTAAAGACTGCAACGACAACACCATTAAAGCCAACCTCTTTAACACATGGCTCACTTTGGCTCAGTATTTGTAAACAGCAATGGATCATGCCCAGTATTTCCTAGTCGAACCACAGAAAACTACAATGATCTAATACATATCAATTTTACAGAAGTCAATGTTGAAAAAGCACTATGCAATCTAAAACCATCTCTTATCTATTGGACCGGACGGAATATGTGCCTACTTCTTAAAAAAGCTATCCACTGCCATAGCAGAACCTCTAAGCATAATCTTGAAAAATCTTTCAGGACCAGCTCCTTGCCTAACCTATGGTCACAAGCCACGGTCATCCCCATCTTCAAAAAGGAGACCCCAGCCTAGTTGAAAATTACAGACCAATCTCTTTATGCTGCGTTACCTGTAAAGTCATGCAATCAGTTATTAACCAATCCATTATCCTCCACTTAGAGACAAACAGCCTACTCTCCAATAAACAATTTGGTTTCAGAAAAGAATTATCCTGTAATCTGCAACTCTTACATTGCAAAAGCATTTGGACTACACAGCTCGATCAGGGCAAAACAATAGATGCAATGTACATAGAATTCTGTAAAGCCTTTGATTCAGTGGTATACGACAAACTACTCCTAAAACTAAAATCTTATGGTATCTCTGGACAACTGCATAACTGGATAGAAGCATTCATGTCAAACAGACAACGAATGGTCAAAATTGGGAATGTCCTATCAAATTCTGTACCTGTCAATAGTGGTGTCCCCCAAGGCAGTGTTCTAAGACCAACTCTCTTCATACTCTACATAAATGACCTGTGATCATATCAAGAGCAACTGCGTTCTCTTTGCTGATGATGTAAAGCTGTTCAATACCACAGACAATACTGCTACCCTTCAAAAAGATCTTGATTATGTATCAGAATGGTCAAGCAAATGGCAACTTCAAATCTCAACAAATAAATGCTCTGTCTTACATATTGGCAAAAAAAAAAACAGAAAATAAAATACAAGCTGAATAGTCAAGACCTTGTTGATGATCCAAGCTCTGTCAAGGACCTTGGAGTACTCATCTCTAATGATCTAAGTGCTAGAGCCCACTGTAACTACATAGCCAAAAAGGCATTAAGAGTTGTTAACCTAATCGTACGTAGCTTTTTCTCTGGTAATATCACAATACTAACTAGAGTATACAAAACATTTGCTAGACCAATACTCGAATACAGTTCATAAGTCTGGAACCCACATTACGTATCTGATATTAACACAGCTGAGAAAGTCCAGAAATATTTCACAAGAAGAGTACTTCACTCCTCTACTCGTAGAATACCTTATGCCACCAGACTTGAAATTCTAGACCTAGAAAACCTTGAATTACGCTGTCTTCGGTCTGATCTAAGTATGGTATATAAAATCATACATTGCAATGGCTTATCTGCCAATGAATACTTCAGTTTCAACCATAATAACACAAGAGCACACAATAGATACAAACTCAAGGCGTGAACCGCACCAAACTTGATTGCAGAAAATACGACTTCGGGCAACAGAGTGGCCAATGTCTGGAATACTCTACCTGACTCTGTGGTTTCTTCCCCAAACCCCAAAAACTTTAACCTTAGACTGTCTACTATTTACCTCACCCCTTTCCTAAGAGGTCTGTAGGGAGCGTGCATAAGTGCACCAACATGCCTACCGTCCCTGTCCTATTGTTTCTTTTTATTTTTCTTATATGTACCCATTTCATGTATTCATAACTATGTATATACTTATACCTATTATTTGGTAAGCGATTGACAAATCAAAATAAATAAATAAAATAAAATCGACTACATGGACATGCTGCTTCCACATCCCCAGCTCTGTCCACATGCATTTATGCTTTCTTCTTCCTTTTCAGGGAAGTCAAGGAATGTTTCTATCTCTTCCTTTGATATCTGGCTCTGTGTGAGGTGCTAGGAGCATCCATTCAGGGATGTCTGCAGGATGTCAAAATAGTCAAGATAATAGTCCAAAAGGTCCAGTTGAAGCATTGTCTGCTTTTATATGCAATACTTTTTTGGCCACACTCTCCTGATGCCTCTGCATCCCTCCATGTCAGTGGTACCTGGGAAATATGCAGTTTCATCACCCTTGAAACTTGGCACATAGCAGTTTGTTACTGGAGATGAGCAAATTCATCAGTGTCTTTGCTTTGCTGGAGCAAAACAAAAACACTAAATAAATACGAGCAATTTGGAGAGGCTGGGAGGATTTACATTGTTTTCCATCTCAGATTACAATAAAGCCAGAGAAAGGCTTGGGGAGTCAACATGCTTGTATTTCTTCAAAGCTGTGCCTGGATAATGTTCGGCAATACATGACTTACAGCATACAAGCTTTCTTTAATCAACATTTCTTTGATGTAAATAAGTAATTGATTTATTTGTCGAGATTCTCAGAACTCTATTGCTTTCAGCATGCTTTCCCTCAAAATAATGCAGAACTTCTGCAGGCATTTTGTTCCTGTTATTCCTTTTTTTTTTTTAGGATTGGAGGAGCTGTTCCAGTTGTATTTTCATATTTTGCTGAAGTACTTGCTCGAGAGAAACGTGGAGAACATTTAAGTTGGCTTTGCATGTTTTGGATGATTGGAGGTATCTATGCATCTGCCATGGCCTGGGCAATAATTCCTCATTATGGTGAGAAGTGCAGGATTTTTTTTTTATAACTTCTATTGCCATTGTACATAAGCACTAAACCAGTTTATATTGCAATTGTTCTTCCATTGCCATTTTCATGATGGAATTACTTGTTTAATCAGCAAAATATATGAATATAGAGTTCTTGATAATATGCAATGTATATTTTTAATTTCAGTTTAATATAATTCTGTTAACAGAAGCCATTATCTGAGGTTACAGACCTATGTGAAGTAAATACATAAGCATTGCAATAAATGGTGGGACTATTTGGCCCTTATCCCAAGGTGGCCAAACAAAAATATTGTTTTTTGGTTGGCAATTTCACATTGGAAAACCTGCATGATCTAAAATCCCAGTAGTATATGCAGCAATGCTCAATCCTAGAGTAATGAGGGGGGAAAAGTGTTGTTCTATAATTATAAGTAGTATTTTAAAAAATTCAATATACAAAATTTACTTAAATTTATTTTTAAAATAATAAATGGACCGATACTGTTTGACTTTTAGAAATATGTGCGATTTCTTAGCTTATCTTGGGGTAAGACATTTATATACACAGCTAAATGGCTTTCAAAGGTTATTTACCATATTTGCTATAAATAGCTTAATAATATACACCAAGATATTTAAATGCCATCAGTATTTTCACTTTTCTTTCTGTTAATATTTGAAGTTAATTTTCTTTTTCCTCAATAGAAGATATTTTGGTTATGCCAAGCCACTTAACCTTTTCAGTAGTGATTATCTGTGTTATAACTAGAATCCATTCCAAGTTTGTAAGGTAGCTATATAATCAGTATTATTTTATTGAATCAGCTATTCCAGAACTGTGATTACTAGGGCTATCCTATCGTCAGTAGAACCAGTTTTTCTTAATAGACGAGGATGGATGATAAATTAGAGTTGGTTCTCTATTGCCTTATGTGTTTAGACCAGTGGATTCAAAATTTTCAGGTCATGTACTGTGTGTGTCTGTGTGTATCTGTGACTGTTACTGTGTCTCTTGCGTGTATTCTAGGATCCTTGATCAAGAGGCAAAGCTCTGATAAGTGGCTGCTTCCAGTGATTTTTGTTTGTGTGTACTTTGTCTCACAGGTTCTATGCTGAACAGAGTTTGAAAAATTCTGGAATAGAACAATCACTCCACCTTGATATTGTCCAGTCCTAGCCTGTGATACCATATAATAATTGGCAGACAGAAGTAAAAGAGATCTCTTCAGCCAGCCAGATCTCCAGAATACCTGCTAAAGTAGAACTTCCATTCAGGATTGAAATCTGGATAATAAATATTTTATTTATGTAACACATTTAGATAAATTTATTTATAAATATTTTATATTCCGCCATTGAACAGGCATTGTAATCTTTATAGGCCACCATCACCAATATAATATGTTGACTTGTTTGCGAAGGAGGAAGTTCACCCTATTTTCCATGCAGCAGCCATAGCATCCTTCTGTCATATCTATTCCTATAAAGCTTGACTTAGACTTGTCTGCAATTGTGCATAGGCATTGACACATACTTATGCTGAGAAGGAGTTGGTAAGTGTAGGTTTCAGATGGGCTAACACTCACACACCTCAGAAATCTCAACTACGAGTTGTGTAGAGATGTGTGTTCTGCATGCTGAGTAGTTGATCCAGCTTCCGGTTGGGAGGCTGATGGAACGCAAGACCTGTTTTCTGTGCTTTGTTGTTTGAGTGCCCCCTAGTAGGAAAATTAACCTCATTGCTTGCAGTATGTTTGCATGGGTATTTAAGGTAAATTCCACAGTTCAGTCCATTCAGTCAGCTCAACTATTTTAGATATTCTAAAAAGAACCATCCAATTGGTTTGGGTAATGCTTTACAGAACTTCAATTGGTACTTGGAGTGTTGGATGACCTCTCCATTAAGTTTTGGGAGCTGATAGACCTGTTATTCCTTTGTGCTGCAGAAAACTATTGAAATGTAGGACTAGAATGATACACAATGAAGTCAAAATCATGAGGATATGGCTAGAGCAAAGATTATTGGGGCATGCTTGTGTCACAGTTAAACCCAGATATGAAAGGGCTTTTAAACCCTGAGTGCCTTTAGGCCACTTATTCTCACCCAGTCCAACTCACCTCACAGGGTTGTTGTTGTGGGAAAATAGGAGCAGGAGGGTGTGTTAGAAATGTCTTCTGTTTAAAGTTGTGTATAAAAATAATAAAATCATGATATAAATTAAATAAATAACCCTTTATTAAAATTTGAGCAAACAGGAAAATTAGCTTATTCAGCTCAAGGTGGTTTGTCATTTTCGCCCCCATTTGCTTGGAACTGCAACCTTGACAAACAGATTCCCCCCGAATTGATTCACATAAACACAAACGTTGACTTGGCAAGCTCCAGTCAAATTTTATTTTATATCATTTCAATAGCTTATTCACCCAACATGCTCAATATTGTTCATGCATGTTAAAAAGAAGCCAATGCACAAAATGCCCCTAATTATTCCATTATTGATTTAAACAGCATTTCCTCTTTTCTTTGTCTTTCTACCTCTGCCTACCAAAGAGCTGTTTTGGTCAACAGCTTGTTGTTGAGTTGGAAAATAAGTGCAGTCTCAGAGTTGTGGCTTAATTCCCAAGGAGAGCAAAATCTGATGTTAAGTTAGTTATCAATAACACTAAGATTATCCAACCATTGCCATCTTTTGCATCTGCTAAAGCAGGACATTTTATTTCTTATAACCAGAGGCTTTTACAGGATGTGCTTACAGTTTTCCCATACAATATATGTTCCTAACTCCAAATATACATGATTGCACTAAACCCAAATCTAATTTTAAAAAAGGAAATTATTCTAGTATTTTTTAAAAATAAATTTGTTTCGGTAGCTGATAGTCTATTGATAGACTTACCTCAGCAACTGGCACTGGAACTATCATAGCTAAGCAATGCAGTCATTAAATGAATCATCATGTGACCACACATACAACTTTTTTTTCCCAGGGGTCATTATGGATTAAGTAAGAATCATGTAATTGTTTAGTGGGCTTCTCCTATTGACTTTGCTTGTTGGAAGCTGGCTGATCAAGTGACGATGGGGATGCTGTGAAGCTTGTAAACGCGAGGACCAGTTATAAGTCACTTTTTCCAGCATTGTTATAATTTAACTGGTTGCTAAATAAATGGTTATAAGTTCGAAGTAGCCGTAACTATTTAAATACGATCTACCATGCTGGATACCAACCTATTTCAGAATACCTCTGTTGGCCAATATTGTAAGCTAAATACCTGTATATCAAAGGGGAGAGAGATAGAAAGAATCTATTAAAAAGATTATATTCAGCATAGGAATAATTTTCATTTTAGCCAAGACAGATGGTAAATTTACAACACAACCAAGATTCCTAATTTATTCCTAACTTATTGTTTTATTGTACTTTTATGTTTTTAATATTCAAAATTACTTGTTTATGATTTTAGACATCTTAACTTCTACATTGTCAGATACCTGAGTTCAAATGTCTCTTTGAAATGAAATGGTCTGTGCATCTAAACCTACTACATTTTTGGAAAATACATTATCGGTAGCAGAAAAGCTGACTGCAATGGTCATGGCTGACTTCATTATAGAAGACAATGAATTGCTTTAGGCAGAGTACATCTCTTTGTAGGCAGTATAACAAACTGTTTACCAAGCCAAGTGCACTTTCCTTTTGGATCTTTTAAACTCTCTTTTGAATTGTATTACTACAATGCAGTAGAAAATGCAGCTTTATTTAAATAAGTTGGGACTGTTTTCAGCTTGAAAACACACAAAGTATGTTTTAAAAGTGAACAATAACTATGGGAAACATGATTATTATAAAGATAATTGCATGTTAAAAATTGCTTTAAAATATTGAATCCAGCCATTTCCATCTATCAAAGAAGGAACGTTGCTGGTGGACCATATTTCCCCTTCTTTTTACATCCTCCTGATGCCCATTTGATTTGCTTCAGGGGTTGATGGAACCTTCACTCTTCCTCTAAATATTCTATCTTGAATACAGTGAAGTTATTTAGAATAGCAGGCTGTGAAGAGTTTATATGTACCTTAAATTGAGACAAGATTGGTACTAACAGTTTTGCTTCTAAATGTTATAAGAGTGCCATCCAGTGGCTAGTTCAGCTATAACTTTTTCATCTAATTGAAACTAGTATTCTTTTTCCTAGTGTATATCCCAAAAACCATGGTAAGATTTTTATTTTATTTTATTTCAATAGCTGCCCATCTCAGTTAGTAACTCTAGGCAGTATACATCATAAATGCAATGATATTACTAACACTACATACCTTGACTTTTCTCTGGAGTTCAAAATGGCTTATATGATGGTTTTTAATTTTACTTCTACAATGACAATCCTGTGAAGGTTGAGACAGTGTAATCTACTGAACTCCATGGTTGAATGAGATTGAATGGCAATTCTATGGGATATTCAGCCAGAAACTTCCCAGTCCAGTCTGACATCTCAACCAATACCTTTATATATATATTTATTTGTTTGTTTGTTTTCTTAATACCCGAACCAAGCTGAATACCATACATACATATATACATACATACATACATACATACATACATACATGTTTTTGTAGATTTTCACGGGTACAGGTATGTAGGTCTAGGTGTGTTCGGGTCTTTTCCCATGTAAGATTACACGTGAAATAATCTTACACGGGAAAAGACCCAAACACACCTAGACCTACATATATATATATATATAAGTTTTCGCGGGTACTTACATGTATGGTATTCAGCTTTGTTCGGGTATTTTCCCACGTCATTATAGTTGTGCTTTTAAAGTTGTAGCAACGTTTAGGCAGAATCTTATCTGCCATCATCATTCTTTTTTAGAGAGTCATTGAGCCCATTGTCTTGCTTAGCAATGTAAATTTTGGGCTCAGTTACGTTCATAAGTTGAGGACTACCTGTATTACGTTTCATGGTAGATCTTAAAAACAAATGTTAAATAATCAGTAACAAATACAGAATAGTTACTGAAAACAATACTTGCCAGTACAAATATTAATTCTAAAATATTTGAGCTGGTCACAGATATAAATTGAATATTAGGGGCAAGGAGCATTTAAAAAAAAACCTTTAAATGGCAGTTGAGACTGCATGATCAAAGGTTGCTCTCTTCATGTGCACCATGAACTATAAAATGGAGACAGACTCTAGAAAGACTGCAGAGAAGAGCAACAAAGATGATTAGGGGACTGGAGGATAAAACTTATAAAGAACGTTTGCTGGAACTGGGTATGTCTAGTTTGATTAAAAGAAGGACCAGGGGAGACATGATAGCAGTGTTCCAATATCTTAGGGGCTCCACAAAGAAGGAGGAGTCAAGCTATTCTGACAAGAAGCCATGGGTGGAAACTAATGAAGGAGAGAAGCAACTTAGAACTAAGGAGAAATTTCCTGACAGTTAGAACAATTAATCAATGGAACAAGTTGCCTCCAGAAGTTGTAAATGCTCCAACACTGGAAGTTTTTAAGAAGAGATTGAGCCACCATTTGTCTGAAATGGTATAGGCTTTCCTGACTAAGCAGGGGGTTGGACTAAAAGACCTCCAAGGTCCCTTCCAACTCTGTATTCTGTACTATTCTGTTCTGTTCTGTAGTAATGCCTTCCATCTTGATGTCTTGTATTTCCCAAAGCCTCTATAACAGCTTTCACAAAGGCCTTTTTTATATTAAAGCTATTGGATTCAGCTTTAGTGCATGTTATATTCTGATATAGTACTCTTAAAAACATACATGTATGGAAAATATTCTAGAAGCCATCTTTTTGCTGCAAAACAGAAAATAAAGAAATAAGTAAAAAAATAAACACTCCCTCTGCCCCCCCAACACACAATAACTGGTTAGGGTTGGTTTATTCTGAAAAGAACTTAGAAATGAAAAATGCTGTTTTTATTGTTTTTGCTAAAAAGCGAGACAGCCTTTCTTGGCTATAATGGGTTCTGTTTGAATAGGATGTTTATGTCTTTTATCATTGATCTCTCTTATGCTAATATCACCCTGTAGTCTGTCATTGCAACTTGAATGATTTATTTGGTCTTTCTTGTAATCAGTAGAGTGAGAAGGTGATATTTAATGTGAAGCTGCTGCAAAGATTGAAAAAAAGCTGAAGGTTTTATTTTATGCCACAGCCCCAGAAAACTGTTCCCAACATGCACTTGGGCCTATTGTTTTAACAACCCGCCTCACCCTTTGGAACTTGCTGCTGCTTTCAAGATTAATGACTTTTGAATTCAGCATTTGCAGGGAGCAAGGGTGAAGTTTAACTTGCAGAACTGTATTGCCATCTGAATGAATTAGACAAAGAACACTATACATCTTCCTGTTAGGTAACAAAGAATGGCAGATGGAAACCAAAAGCTCACCTCAATTTGACAGCAGTTCTTATCTATAGATAAATCTATTTCAAATTCATTTTTAAATTTAGTTGGTGGAAAGCAATATCTAGAAATCACGTTCTTCCTTTGCAACTAAAACAACAGGGGATCTTGGCCTCTTCAAAAAACCGAAATGGCATACAATAGTATAATCACTTGTATAGACAATTGTATGTTCTACATAAAAATAAATACAATTATACTTATTTTAAAAATAGCTTAGTTTGTTTATTGCAATATTAAAAAGTAAAGGATCCAAATTTTCAAGAGGGCAAAATTTTATTCCTCGATGGTTAGTTGGATTTTGGTAGTTATATGCTGTATCAAAGTGAGTGAAATAAAAGTTAAATTACAACTGAATGTAAGAAACATCTGACAACATTGATATAATCATTGGACACTCTTTCATTCAAGCCTTGAGGGCTTTGTATATAGCTGATGTGGTATCAAAATATGTAAAAGGAGTAATATTTTTAGTACCATCCTGATTTTAGCAGCAATCATGATAGATATTCTGTCTTCTCTCCTTTGAAACAAGTGAACACAGATAGTAAATTTCTGTAAATAGGAGATATTAGAAATTAGGTCTTACCTTTTTTAGATACCTCACTTTGACTAAATTCTGGGAGCCATTTAATCTGTGGTTTTTGTAAATATAAAACTTAGAATACACATTTTATGCAAGTCATTTCTCTGGTGTCAATATATCTGAGAGAAAACTATAGGTTTTAGATCTTTTTATAGAAAGGGGATAGTATAGGTACAATATTAATATATATTATAAGAGAAGATGTAATTTCTTTGTGTAGTTAAACGTGTTGGATCTCAGATATAGATATGCAAAGTATAATAAACCTAATGTATTAGCTGGTTCTGAATCTTATTGAAGATATTCAATACATGTAATGCAAAGAAAGAGCTGTTGCAGATCTGTACAAAAGAAATACTTGGTTTATGTATGAATAATGAAAAGGCAATTTCTTTTTACCATGATCTCTTCATAATTAATATGATCATTGAAATTTGAGTGATAATTTTACAATCTTTTTAGTGCAGACTTAAATAAGAAATTTATAGTTAAATTAGATAACTTGCCAGATATAAAGAAATAACTTTTTTTTCTAAGTAACTAAGGAGCAGGTAGACATTAATATATCCTACCTGGTTTAGATTTTTTAAAAGGATTATGGAGGGGGAAAAATATCTTCAGTCTCCACTGATAGAAGTAATCAATAGATTTCCCAAAAAGTATTGATCATAACAAACTCTGGGTCAGATGATTGCTATTACTTTTACTTAAATGATAATAAATGTCTACAATAAATAAGCAGAGTTAATGCTAAAATATGGTCAAAACAGAATGGAAATTTGCAGATAACACCAAGTGACAGGAATAACCAACACTCCAGAAGATAAGCTTAAGATACCAAAGGATCTTGACGGACTTGAACATTGGGCACTATCTAAAAAAAATGAAATTCATTGGTGAAAAAAGTGAGGTTCTACATTTAGGCAAGAAAAACCAAATACACAGGTATAGCATATGTGGTACCTGATTCAATAGTAGTAACTGTGAGAGGGATGTTGGAATTCTAGTGGACAATCACTTAAATATGAACCAGCAATGAGCTACAGCTGCCAAAAAAGCCAACATAGTTCTAGGCTGCATAAATAGAATAGAATCAAGAATCAAGATCATGTGAAGTGTTAATACCACTTTATAGTGCCTTAGTAAGACCACATTTAGAATACTGCATCCAGTTTTGGTTGCCACAGTGTAAAAAAGATGTTGAGACACTAAAAAGAGTGCAGAGAAAAGAGTAACAAAGATGAATTAGGAGACTAGAGGCTAAAACATAAAGAATGGTTGTTGGAATTGGGTGTTAGTTTAATTAAAAGAAAGATTAAGAGTGACATGATAGCAGTGTTCCAATATCTCAGGTGTTGCCACAAAGAAGAGGGAGTCAACCTATTCTCCAAAGCACCTGAGGGCAGGACAAGAAGCAATGGATGGAAACTAATCAAAGAGAGAAGCAACATAGAACTAAGAAGAAATTTCCTGACAGTGAGAACTGTTAATCAGTGGAACAACTTGCCTCCAGAAGTTGTGAATGCTGCAACACTGGAAGTTTTTAAGAAGAGATTGGACAACCATTTGTCTGAAATGGTGTAGGGTTTCCTGCCTAAGCAGTGGCTTGGACTATAAAACCTCAAGGTCCCTTCCAGCTCTGTTATTCTGTTCTACTCTACTCTACTCCTTCCGCTCTGCCACCGCTCCACTCCTCCATTCTTCTTGTTGAAATAATAGATAGTCCCATTGGACATGGTGGGAGTAAGGGCCTGTAGTACAGCCACAGGAGTGGAGTTTTGTGGTTTTCTTCTTGAAGTAGTGGCAAAAGAGATAGCTAATGCCAGAAGTAATGGGGGGTTACCAAGATGAAACAATCATTCCATTGAATCCTCAGCAGCTGTCAATGAATTATAGGCAATACACTAAATTGTATCAATAAGCCTTTTCACAGTCACAGCTCTGGCTAAAGTAGTGACACTTTAAGTAGTGGCAATGGTTTTACTGCGGCATTTGATTTTTGAAAGAAGAAAAAAAGAATTTTCAAAGTACAGAATCCATGGAATAGGCCTAACTGTTTTCCTGCTCAGAAATTATCTGAGTTTATATGCCATGATGCCATTCTTTCAAAATATGTTGCGTTCATAATACAGTGTCTTTTTCTCCTTTTTCAGGGTGGAGTTTCAGCATGGGATCTGCATATCAGTTCCACAGTTGGCGAGTGTTTGTTATAATGTGCGCCTTGCCTTGTGTTTCTGCTGTGGTGGCACTTACTTTTATGCCAGAAAGTCCAAGGTTCTTGCTTGAGGTAAAATATCTACATTCCTTCAAGAAGCTGACCTGGGTCTTACCTGGGTCTTAATATCAATCTCAGATCCACCACTTAAATAAAAAAAATAATCAGGCCAAGTATTTTCAGTGGGGACTTGACATTTTTGAAGTTCTCTCTCTGGAAAATGTTATTTGCCTCTTTCTCTTTGAGAGATTTAATAACAATCCTTTTAAAAATTATATCAAGTTTTGATCTACTACATTGCTTTTAATCTGATGCTGTTTTATGGTTGGTTTTGTTATGCTATTTTATTCTGATACTTATTTGGTGAACTGTCTTGTTTGAGGTGAAAAAATGAATGTATTGCTGAAGATCTAAACATCGGAGCAAGGTTCACAATAAATGTTATTTATTAATGAGGTGATTTAAAACTATTAGATACCAAATGTAACCTACAATATGTCATTGAGTGAGATAGAAAAATGTGGCAAAACATTTCTTTAAATGTAGATGTATTTTGAGTGAAGAAAGAGTGAATACAGATTGCTTTATCAACAGCTTGCATTTTCATAATTATTTCTGAAATTTTCAAATGTCTTCATATCCTTAGGTTGGAAAACATGATGAAGCTTGGATGATTCTCAAACAAATTCATGATACAAATATGCGAGCTCGTGGCCAACCTGAAAAAGTTTTCACAGTGCGTATTTTTTATACAAATATATATCATTAGTGAAAAATTAGTTGCAATTTAGACTGGAAAAGTTGTGGTAGAAACCATATATTCTTCTGGAAGAAAACAATACCATGAAGAGTACCTACAGTGATTATTCACATAGATCTTGAAGATTTATTTTTGTTTAAAGACGTTTTTTGATCCATTTGTCACTGGGGTCCAGATAGCCTTGGTAAGATTATCTGGCCATAATTGTTAATTCTTGTGGCCTTAGGGCTGCAACATATTCTTTCCCCAGTTTCCCTGTGCTCACACACAAATACACATGTACCATTGCCACCTGAATTCACACCACACTGCGACACCCCTCCAACTCACGCGTAACCTGCATTGGGCTCCCCCCCCCCCCCCCCAGCAACCTGCACTCCTTGTCTGGATCTCTCTTTGCTTTCGGTTTAACAGTCCATGTTAAGTCGTGTAAATTGCACTTTATGACCTAACTGCTTAGTAGTGGAAATTCTGGTCCCAATTGTGATCATAAGTTGATGACTGTCAGGCTCAAGCAGCTAGATCAGGGCTGTCAAACTCCCAACCCGCTGGCCGGATGCATCATGCACTGGCCATGCCCACTCCTTGCTTAGGGCTAGATCCACATATGAAAGGTTCAAGTTGACTATTTTGTTCTACAAGAATCTCTTCAGACTGCTTGCCTTCCCTTGGGAACAAATAGATAAAGTTCCATGAAACTTAAAGGGGGTCAGCTTTATGTCTCTTGTGGATGCGGAAAGACTCAAAACTAGTTCCCCACCTGATCCCTCCTCTCTGCCTGGCTGGAATTTTCCCAATAATGACTACCTATAATGGTTTTTTTTAATGTATTGTTAGATTTAATAGGATCTGTGAAGTTGCTTCTTATTCCGTATTGGTTATAACTCAGTTTTGAAGGGTATTATACAAAAATCATAACAAAACTAATAATGATATCCTCATATGAATTTATATCCTTTATTCATTAAAATGTGTTTTAAAGAGCTGCAAACAACCATTTTTATAGTTTTTAAAAGCTCTACAGATAAGCTGATTTCTCTAATAATACCGCAAAATATCCCTGTTTCTAAAGAACCTGCACTTTCATATTCTCCTGTTCAGTTGACTTCTGTGCAAATCGTACTTCTCTTTCTTTCTCAAGAGATGGAAACTATAGCCAAGGTTAGATGTTTTAATTTATAAACATGCAACTTAAAGCTGTTTATAATCTTTTAGATAAGGCTGTTAACTTTCAATAGTCAAATGCTTGTTTCTCAAGTAGGGAAAAAAATACTCTTCTTGTGTTCTCCATAGGTTAACAGGATCAAAATGCCAAAACAAATAGATGAACTTGTAGAAATACAAAGTGACACAGGCACCTGGTACAGGAGATGCTATGTCAGGGTACGCACAGAACTGGATAGTGTAAGTAACACAATCTCTATAATATTATATATATTTAAGTACAAACTGGTTTAGAGAATCTAGACATTTACTATTATTATCAAGTTTAAATAAGACAGTGTTAAAATTACTAAAATAGATATAAAACAAACAACCTCTTATGCTTTTTATTCCCCCCCCCCCCCCCCCCGAATGAAACATTCTGTGATTCCATGTTTTTATAGGGATTTTCCAGATAATGGTACTTTACAGTGGTGGGATTCAATTTTTTTCACTACCGGTTCTGTGGGCATGGCTTGGTGGGCGTGGCAGGGGAAGGATACTGTAAAATCTCCAGTCAGAAGTAGTATTTGCCAGTTCTCTGAACTATTCAGAATTTCCACTACCAGTTCTCCAGAACTGGTCAGAACCTGCTGAATACCACCTCTTGTACTTTTTTTTATTATATTGCTTTCTCCTTCTCCCAAAGTTGCTGATATGCTCTCAATTTATTCTTGTGAAGTAGATTAGGCTGAGAGATAGTGGCTTGTCAGACTCACTCAATAATCCACAAAGATAAAGTTTGATGTGGTTTCTCCCATGTCCATTTCATTACTGTCATACAGTAAAGGGGCATGCTATGCTAATTTGGCAAGAATAGCTTCCACGTACACTCTCCATCATGCAACAAGGCAAATACAAACAGACTATGGTTCTAAAGTTTCTAAATATTGTTAATCAGTTGGAGTACAAAAAGGGAGGGAAGTCAGAACTCAAATACTTACCTATAGTTTTTAGTACTTCTTTTTCCTTTTCCTTTTTGTTTCCTTCCTTTTAATATTTATAAATAATAATGTTGTAGAGATTTTGGAACTAAATTCAAAGATATGTACTTCTATCTTTTGATAAAGATAATATATTTGGTCTGGTCAATTTGTTATTAATATTAAAGCATTAATTGTATAATTGCAAAAATTTTCTTTATCCAGTTATTGTATTGACCGAATAAAGCCACAAAATGGGGTGTACTGAATCTTCCAGGAAAAGTTGGCTTTTTTTGTTCTTTCAAGTTGCTTCTAAAATTTGCCAAAGTTTATATAATTTATATAGCCCTTGTACATTAAATTGGTGGACTAGATTAGGTGTGGTTCAGTTTGTTGCATCCCTGGTGCTTGACGAAAACTAAACTAAAAGTAAAATAATTTCTGCAATAATAATTAAAAGCATCATCTAGAGGAGGGGTCCCCAACCACCGGGCTGTGGACCGGTACCGGTCCGTGGATCATTTGGTACTGGGCCGCAAAGAAAATAAAAATAAAAAAAATGGCAGCTTTCTTTGCCTTCGGTGAATGCTGCTGGGATCAGGGATCAAGGACACAAATGAAAGAAGGGGAGGGAGGAAGCAACCAAAGCCTGTCCTGCTCTCCGGCTCAGTGGCTTCGGTTTCCTCCCGCCTCGTTCCTCTCTCAGTCGCTCTCTCGCTCCTCCACCAGCCCAGGAAGAAACTGCTTCAAAGAAGCCGGCAGGGTGGCTTTTCCTGTCGGCGCAGCTCCTCCGAAGCGCCCGTTAACCCCCACCCCGCCGCCCGCGGTTCAATCCAGTGCTCCGTTCTGCCTGCCTGCCTGCCTTCGTTTCTGGTTGTTTTGGAGTAGCTTTGGCTGAGAATAATAACTATTTGCCTCTTTTACTCAGCCGAAGCTGCTCCGAAACAACCAGAAACGAAGGCAGGCAGGCAGAACGGAGCACTGGATTGAACCGCGGGCAGCGGGGTGGGGATGAACAGGCGCTTTGGAGGAGCTGCGCTGGAAAAGCCACCCTGCCGGCTTCTTTGAAGCAGTTTCTTCCTGGGCTGGTGGAGGAGCGAGAGAGCGACTGAGAGAGGAACAAGGCAGACACCTGAGGGATGAGGCTGAGGGAGGCAGGGCTGAGAGGCGGGGCTTCTCAGCCATCCTGCAGGGACTTGTCCTGAGCCACGGAGACAGCCACGGGCCGCCGCCGCCCAGCGCTCAGTTTTGAAGGCGCTCCTCAGCTCGGCGCAGTTCCTGAATCTGCAGCTGAAACCCTCCATTTTAAATGTCCCAATAGAAGAGAATATCTGTCGCTCAGGGTTGCAATGAGAAGGCATTGGCGCTCCCTGAACTTGGTGGTTTGCTGGCAGATGTTTTATTACCCGACTAGGTAACAACATCAGATGTTACCTAGTCAGGTAATGAAATGTCTGCAAGCAAATCACCAAACTCAGGCTCCTCCCCCCCCCCCCCTCCTTGAAAAAGTGTCGTCTCTTCCCCCCCCCCCCCCCCGGGTTCTTTGCAAAAGTGTTTCTGCGCGAAACTGGTCCCTGGTACAAAAAAGGTTGGGGACCACTGATCTAGAGTCTTCTACCAAAATAACAATAATGTGGATACTTTGAGTGGGGAAAGATGCTATGGATCCCTACTGCACAAATGACCAATATGTGATGGCCTGCTTCTACTTTTATGCATTCTGGGAAATCAGGTGCCTATAATCTCTAGTACTTAAGTTTCAGGTGAAAAATTTTAGACCTCTGTGCCTATTGATGCCATATTTGGCCCAAGAGCATTCGTTACCAGTATCTTGATACTCTTTGGCTTTTTACTCCTACTTGTGGAATTCATAAAGGCTCCCCTTTCACTTTGCACTGCTCAATTAGGGGTTGTGTTATTTCTTGATTTAAGCAGCTGTTGTTAAAAAGCTGGTCAAGCAGAGTATTCAGCAATCTAGTTATATCTGTAAAACTAAAGACTACATGGCTTCAGATACAAACCTGATATTTCAGAAACTGGATTAGTTATTGCTGTTTCAGAGGAAAAATTAGGCCCCTTAGCAGTTTTCCTGATGTAAATGGTCACTATAGACCATCCGTCCCTCAAAGTAGCATTTTATTGAGGATCCTGAAGCAAAGCGGCGTATCTAACTTTTTGTGATGCTTATTCTCAAGTTTACTTAAATTTTTCATTTAGATTTACATAAAACTTTAGAAAACAAATAAAGTTTTTCTTATTTTCTCACAGATTTGGTTAACATTTAAGAGGTGTTTCACCTATCCAGTCAAAGACAATACAATTAAGCTTGCAGCAGTATGGTTTACTCTTTCTTTTGGGTAAGGTTGATAAGAAATATTTAAATTTTGTAATTGTATTTACATTAACTTGGTTGCAAATTCATATGCATCTGCGGGTGATGCAGTGGGCTGGATGAATGTACTGCATTTACTTTGTGAAGGAAGATTCAAACAAGTTAAAGATACCAAATGCCATATTCCAGTTACTAGGATTTTTCTTTATTATTTTCTAACCTAGAGACCTCCCCCATTATATATTTAGTGTGAAGCAGCTATGCTAGTTTCATTCATTTTCCACAATATCAGTGTATGATATCATCAAATTACTGTCATCTCAAATTACTCCAAATCCTTTTTGAAACTGAAGAAAATAAGTCTTTGAAAAGCATAAAATTACACTTAAACATGGTACAAAATAGAAATACTCTTTTTTAAAAAGAGGTACAATTTGAGATGTGCAGTAATATTGCTAGCGATTGGGCTATTTCCAAAGGATCTGTATCTTGGCATTCCTTTACTGTTGCCTTTCCAGTTAGTGACATGGATACATACAACAACAAACTTTTTATTATTTTATAAAAAATTTAAACTGCTTTTTTTTCACCCTTTTAAAATGTTTAATATTCATACAAACATTTTTTATTAAAAAACATTCTGCACTGACTTAATATTTAAATTAAACATAAACCAACACACACCCTTTTTCCTGTCTCCAGTCCACACTATTTTATCAATGCTTTCTATTTTTTTTATTTCTACTTTTTTATCATGTACATTAACTGAATAATAGCTTCTACACAAGCTTTTCTGTAAAGTATTTTTAAAGAATGGTTATTAAAAATGATTTTAAAACTCAATAAACTGTGATTGCTCAGGCTTTCCCCCTATCCATGTAGTTTAAAAACTGATAATTTTACAGGAGATTACTTTTATAGCAAATGTATTGTGTGATCACTATACCAATACAACATGCAAGTCTATAAATATTCTTTAGAAAAACAGTTAAATAGATAGGATTGGAAAAGTACAGAAAAGGACAACCAAAACAATCAGGGCAGCTAAAACAATCTCCTGTCAGAAAGAAATAATACAGGGGTTGTTTCATTTTTTAAAAAAGCTGAGAAAGGGGAAACATCATAGAGAGGTATAAAAGTATGCCTCCTGTGAGCAAATGAAATACAAAGAAATCTGTCTTCTATCAGAATCTGTGTCATTTGTTTTCTTAGAACATAGTGAAGTCACTTTGAAAGGAGATGAGACATCCATGGAGGATAAGGCAGTGTCTATTAATTTTGAAGCTCTAGGTCATTTACAGAATCAGAAATAGTACTACTTACCAGATTCTCAAGGGTATCTGTGGGAAATTGACTAAATTAGAATAGGCTTTTGGTTAAACAAGTCTGGTACAGTATCATATGTGGCTTTCAGTGGGAAGACAATGATTAAATACAGTAGCATTACAAATCTACAAATATGCTATTATTACTGTTCTCAGAAACTGCAAAGCAGTGTATTTCAGTTAATGCACCCCAAAAGCCTCTTTCGAAATGTTTTGCATGTGTCAATTACTAAAATTACAAAATAACATTGCAAGCTATTTCCATTAATACAAGCCTGGGAGCAAAACCAAAAAAGAAATTGGACGTATTGTCCCTTTTCCTCTATATAATCTCCAATTTCTACTTATTTCAAGGATTCAGCATTCTTAATTTTTGTTTCTTTTTTCTTAAACCATATTAAAAATTTCAAATATGAGAAACTTAGCATAATCTGCATGTGTGAGTTCTGGTTTTTACAGCTTGTGGGCATTGTCTTTCTCTTCTTATTCCCACCCCTACCTCATGTCATGCCACTATCTATATCTAGTCATGACTTCACTTTCATTTTTCTATAAGTTTGTGCAATTGGCTTATTTTCACTAATCATAATTAACATTAGCGGCATATGACACAATAAATAATGTTAATTTTAGATGAACATGGCAACAACAGTTCTCATGATAATTTTTGCAAAGAAAGGGGGAATTCAGAAATCTGTGGGAAAGCTATGTATGTTCTTGTTATATCTGAATGCAGCTAGAACATTGTAAAATACTACTTTTTATCAGTATATGGTATATAATAGCATATATTATATCAGTATATAATGCTGCATTACAGTTCATTTTCGTGTCATGTATTTTCTATTGAATGCTGAAATTACCCCAAATGCTTTTATAGGTACTATGGATTGTCTGTCTGGTTTCCAGATGTCATTAAGCATCTGCAAGCAGATGAATATGCCAGCAGAGGGAAGAATTTTAGCAACAAGAGGATCGTGGGCTTTGATTTCAACTTTACTCTGGAAAATCAGATCCATTTTAATGGGACATTCATCAATGACAGGTTGAGAAAAATAAATAATTTGCTGATTGTGCATTCTGCCTTTCTTCTAATGAGTTCAAGATACATATTTAGCACTTCCTCTCTTTCTCTACAATGGTTATGTGGGATGGGGTAGACTGAGAAGTAGTGATTTTAGTCCAAAGTTACTCACCAAGCTTATGTGCCTGAACCCACAGAATGTACTTGAATGTGGGTTTCCCAGGTTCTAGTTTAACACTCTAACTTCTCAATTATTACCAAATTACATCCTCCTTTTTGATTTTTAATTATTGTTATAATTGGTTTTGAAAATTTTGTGTTGTAATTGTACAACTTAAGAAGATCTCTTTTCTTGGTACTAAAATTTTTTTGGCTGAATTATCATGTTTTATATTTGACCACAACTGATTGAGAGAAGTTCAAATGAAAAGGCATTATGATTTGAGTATATAGAGTGTTGCCCAGTTCAGGATCACCTGGTCCCTCATACCAGTGTTCCGTTTTATGTTTCTTTTTCTTTTTTTCTTTTGGAGAGATAGGTATTAATATAGGTTAATGTTCTGCTTTTTTTAGTTCACTCTTTTCCTTGTTTTAATAATTATAGCTAGCTCTAACTTCAGATCAGTAAGTATTACTAAACATTGTTTCAGATCATATTTTGGAGTAAACTTGGCTAATGATAACTATAGCGTGATTCAGCTATCACAACATCCAGTAGTTATGGAGGCTAGGGGAAATATGAAACTTCACAAGATAGAAAAATGTGAACTCTTATATTTTCTGTCCTCCTAACCACTCAGAGTTTGAGCATGGAGAATTTAAACATATTACTACAAAAGACTGAACCTTCAGAAGATGATTTATATTTAGCCATACTATTATTCAATCATTTGAAAAATGCTTTCAATTAAACCTATTACTATCTGTCATGCTTTAAATCAGTACAGTAAATTCTTTGTTTTACTCAGGTTCACAATGATGACATTCAAAGCAGTTACTTTCCAAGACTCCCTTTTTAACCACTGTTACTTTGAGGATGTTACTACGCTGAATACATATTTTAAAAACTGCACTTTTATAGAGACTATTTTCTTCAATTCAGGTATGTTTGGGGGGGGGGGAATACCACATTCTTTGGTACCCCAAATCTTTCAAATCTTTCAACTGTTTGGTAGTTATTTCAATAGAGAAGAGAAGTTAAGCAGAACACTTTCTAAACTTTTTTCACCAGCTGTAGGGATGTCAAGTGCTTCTGGCTGAGCTTATTATCAGAAGGAGCTAACTTTTTAAAAAATAAATTTGAAGAAGAAAGAGTGGGAATTTGGCTCCATGAATAATTTCTTCATCTCTTTGGCATGGAAGGTCTTTCTGCCAAGGGTGATTGGAAAGTAACTGAAACTTTCTGCTGGAATATGAGAAAGTTGAACTGGGCCAACTAACAATTAAACTTGTTTAGGCAGCCACTGAGAGAGACCTTTCAGGATTCCAAAGGCAAAATGAAGTCAACTTCCACACGATACCTTGGAGGTGCAGGGGGGTAGAGGATTGAGGAGAACATGCTGTGCTTAGGATGTTTTCCGATCCAGGTTTATTCATTTCTCTTACGTGTTTTTGTTTAAGGCTAATCTCACTGCCAAGAACTACATCTGTATTGTTTGGGGGAGAGAAGTTTTTTCCCCATTTTAAACTAAAATACCTTAATAGCTCTGATGTATGCATATCCTGTCATTTTGGCCTTCACCTAGCATTTCTGATTAATAATTACAATAGAGTTACAATACAGGTAGCCCTCAGCTTATGTGCATTCAGCAATCATTCAGTTACAGCATTGCTGAAAAAATGGACATACAATTAGTCTCTGAAGTTCTAGCTGCAGCAATGCCCTACACTCAATGTTTGCAAACTGGGAGCCGTAATCACATGATTGCCATTTGCGATCTTTTCTGCTGGCTTCCCAGAAATGAATTCAATGGAGAAACCAACAAGGAATGTCCCAAGTCACTCTGGAAAGTCATTCCTTGTGCAGCATCCTCTGCCTTTAGCTCCGCTATCTCTCCAAGTCTTTTACCGCCCTCCCCAACTTATGTACAGCCTGTTCTGGATCTCCCAAATCCTCCACTGGCCTTCCTCAATTCTTGTGCAGTCTGCACCAGGCCTTCCAAATCCTCCTCACATCTGCCTAGTGTGTAGCCTGCACCTGTCATATTTAATGTTTTTAGGTTCCCCCACTTCTTTTTGTATTTTTAAATTATAAATAGTGGAGATTTGGGCAAATCCTTACTTGCATTGTTAAAACAATTTAATGTATTTAAATGTAGTTTAATGATTTTTCTAATCAATGATACATTGAGCATTAACTCTATAATTTGTCATTTCTTTGTCCACTTCTGATATTACATTCCTGTACCAATTATTATATCTCTTTTTTCTTGTTTGTTTGTGCTTTGTTTTTCTTTTTTAAATTATTAATACACTTAAAAAAACTACATTTGACGTAACAGAAGTTTGTTACCTTATTTATCAAGTGTTTATCTTTCCACCTGACAACAATAAAAATATTAAAAAATAAACACACATAAAAATAATTTTAAAATATTGTAAATATTAATTGTAAATCTAATAAAAATATTAAAAAATAAACACACATAAAAATAATTTTAGTAGAAGATATTTATGTTCTGCTGGGGAAAAGGCATGTCTAATGCAACAATATGAAAGTAGAAGTATATCATTAAAACATTAATATACTGCAATATTAATATACTGGACTGCTATACTAAACATTAATGTTGGCCTTTTTATGCAATATGTAAAAGAACCTGAGTTTGAAATATATTACAACTTTCATAAATTTCTTCTATTTCCACAGATCTTGAGCCATATAAATACCCTGGTAGTGAATTTATAAATTGTACATTCATTCACAATAAGTCAGGATGTCAAATTTCATTTGATGATGATTACAGTGCCTACTGGATTTATTTTGTCAATTTTCTGGGGACTTTAGCAGTATTACCAGGAAATATTGTCTCAGCTCTTCTGATGGATCGAATTGGACGTTTAACAATGTTGGGTAGGAACTTCGCTTTGAAATTGATTGTTTTCTTTAATTAAACATCCTTTTCATTCAAAAGATTTACAAATAATCAAGCAAGGGGTGAGGGCCATATATAGAGAGTTGTTTCACCCACCCACCCACTAGCTAGTTTTCAGTGCACCATCAGATACATAGAAGTAGATGGTGCAGTGATTATGTATTTTAAGGAAGGATGAATTTGTGAGAGGCTTAATGCAGCCTTTCAATCCTTAAACCTCCCTAATCCTATTTTCTCCCCAAATGATAGTCTCTTTGCCACACAGCTTATAAAAAGAAAGGAAAAAAAGAAAATACCTCAAAGTTTGGCTCCCATTTAACAAAGCCTTTCAGCCTCTTCTGTGATAGAAAGCAAGGGAAAAATCATTTTGCTTATCAAACTCATGCTATAAATTCCCCCTTTTCCCCAAACTCTAGAGATGATGACTGGTGAAATTTTATATTTTATCATTTTTATCATGTAATCATGTGCAGAAGGAGGTTTGTTTTTGTGACAGTGCTGGCCCTTGGAGGGGAACATTTCTGAATCAAGATTTTCAGACAGATGATAAGAAAGCATAAGCTTCTCATAGTTCAAGATCAGAAATCTTAATATAGGGAATTACTAGCCAGTAGCAATTTTTTTTTCAGACTTTTAAAGAAGTTTTGATAGTAGGAAACTTGCTACAATGAAAATTCCAAATTTAATTGAGTTCTTGTATGGACTTTCAACCTTCTTAATTCCATTTTAAGCTTTCCTTTCTTCCTGAATAGTGGAAGGCCTTAAGGCCATGACCCTTAATGTATTATTCCGTCACCTCTGTCAGTGCCCACATCCAATGCTACTAGAAAGTCATTGATCCTTACAGCTTCTTGTTATATCTTTGGTTAAGTTACTAATGTTGACAAGATTATAATATTTGTTTTGTAAAGCCTTTTATCAGAAGCAATAGTAGCTATTAACATTTGGTTTCTGTGCAGGTGGTTCTATGATTCTTTCTGGAATTAGCTGCTTTTTCCTATGGTTTGGTACAAGTGGAGCCATGATGATAGGCATGCTGTGTCTATACAATGGCCTTACCATCTCAGCATGGAACTCTCTTGATGTTATTACTGTGGAGTTGTATCCTACAGATAGAAGGTATAGTTTTATATTCCTGCCATGCTTTGTCTTCTTTTCAAAATGTAAGTCAGCTGGACATTTTTAAGATACACACTTAAAAAGTGAAAAAGGATAGGAAATAGACTGTTTTTATAATTGTGAATAATAAGGTCATAAAAATTGTGACTGCTACTGATCTGCACTAGGGCTATATTATTTAACGTCTGTCTGACTTCAAAATTGATCAGGAAGGCTATGTTCTGTTTGTTTCTACTAATCTTGAGCTGTTTTAGAAACAATACATTAAAACTGAAAAGCATTAGGTGCAGATGAAATGCCTGTTTCACCTCTTGAAAACTGCAGAAAGAAGTTAAAGTTCTATCAGTTCTATATTACAAATATGAAAAAAGACCCATTATTGTCTTAAGGTTGGAAAAATACCTCTCCCAAATAAAGGAATGTAGATTATTGAATGAATTCTTTATGTATTCAGTTTTTCTTCAACAATTACAAAAATGAATTTATCCATAAATGCAGAGAAGCAGAAGGATTTGAAACTAAATAGCTAACAGAGATGAATAATAGAGCAAGAATATTACAAGATTTCATTTTATTTCACTGACAAAGCTTGTAAAAGTAGAATGGGGAATATATTAAAGCTAGTGGATATGCCAGAATATCTGATTATTCTTCTGAAGAATAATGAATAAAACACTGTTGGAAAACAATGAAATGATAGATAATTTTATTTTCTTGCATTTTACATTATTTGCATAAAATAAACGTGCTAGGAAAACAAAGAGAAAATTAATCCAATGGTAAAAAGGCAATGAAAACCTTGGGATAGTTCATGACAAAAAAGATCCGCATAGTTAATGATCCTTCCAATGATACTATAATAAACAATTGTTAATTTATATGATACTTGTAAATCTTTTTCACGTAATCTACATCTGCATAAGCAACCTATTTTCTGTACTTTCCCCTCCCCACCTTTTCTTCTCATGTTTCCCACCAACTCACCATAATTTAAGTGCTACACTGCTCTACTCACTCTAGGTATCTGATGAAGTGAGCAGCAGTTCACAAAAGTTTATCCTCTTTCATTTAACTTGTTAGTTGGAAAAAATACTGTGAGACTCCTGATTTTTTGCCAATACAGTTTAATATGGTTCTTTTCCTACAATGTTATTAAACCTGGTTTATTTGTTAAGTGCTGTTGAGTCTGGCCTTTGACCATTGCTTGTCATCTCAGTCTGTCCCCAACAGTGACATAGTTCTTCAAAGGACATTCCGATAATCATTTTAATCTCAGGTATTCATCTGATCTATAATCTTTTATTTTTCTATATCAACGTTGCCAGGAGTAATACTTTTTCTAGTTCATCTTATGCTCAGTAACATACACAAATTTTATGATGTTTTGCTTGCTGATCATTATCTCAAGAGTTGCATCAACCTTTGATCTAAAACTGACTAGATCCTTGATAATGTCTCTAAAAATCATAATTTGGAAGGTACGTAATTCTTTGTCATTTTAGGGTCTATTTTTCCTAGCTATAAGTATCTCTTTGAAGTCAATTACTTTAGTAATTAGTTGTAATCTTTTTTATCATTTCAATATCACTGACTTTTGTGATTTTTGCCCAAGGTTTTGTAAGTGAAGTGAGTCTCATGATTTTCACCTTCATTCCAAGTCAGCAGTTTTATATCTGTCAAACATTGAAGGACTACCTATATGCTTTTAAAAATCCATATGGTCCTTGCTTCTTGGGATCGACAGCTATATAGAGCCTGATGCTTATTTTTAATGTAGAGATATTTTTTATGAGATTGCTACTTTTTTTTCTGTGTGCCGTTCTGGCCTCCTCAAATCCATAACGACCCATCTTCATCCAGTGTTGAAGAATTATAGAAGAAATGTACCCTTTTAGACATCCAACAAAAAAATTACATGGCTCTGGGTTCTCCTTCAAGATTATTGAATTGCAGCCTAAACAATTTCCTTTTAAGGAATTCTTTCCTTTGTTTGCTGTTTATGAACTGTTGCACCCCTTATTTAATTTTGTCAGAAAATATGTGATTTAATACAATTTGCAGACATTGGGACAACAAGTTTTTACTGCCACCCTGTGGAATGAATATCACAATATTCAGTTAAGTTCACCCATCCTGTCTCCCCCTAGCCAGAGTATTGCTGTTCTCACTGTTGTCTTTATTTTAGGGTGTGGCAGTGGGGGTGAGGTGTTCATTAAATCAAGCCCTCAAAAATTGCCTCCTTGCACGAGACACACTTTAGAAAGGCATCCCACAGACATTCCTGACATTGTTATTTCTCATGAGGTGCATATGAAATGTTGTCAGACTAGCTAATTATGTGTTGAAAACTTCATCTCCTTCGTTATATCTCATGTCTTCTCCCATTTTCTTGGGAGGCTTTATAAAACTAGCTCTGAAATTGCCTGGTTTCCTTATTTTCTACCTTCATGGCTACAGACTAGAAGTACTATTCACACCATGCCTCACTGTAATTTTTGCTCTCCTTTTTGTAATGAATGATGGTAATTACAATTTTTCCTGCCTGGATAGGCAGGATGTATAATTTAATCCTGGTTAGCTGCCCACTGCTACCCCTAATCTTTCTTAGATGTCTTACTATGTAGGCTACCTCATTATATTTTGCTTCAGATAAAATCTCAGGAAAGATGTGTATGTAATATAATCTTAATTATTTCAATCTCTGTTCAGAGTTGCACGCTGCAAGAACCTATTTCATATAAACACAGCAGGTGCAGCCTTTCTTCATGCTATAAAATACAAACAAAAATGTAGAATAGGTATCTTTTCTCTGATGACACTTTTAGAATAAGTTACAGGTAATCCTCAACTTACAACAATTCATTTAGTGACCATTCAAAGTTACAACATCACTGAAAAAAGTGATTTATGACCATTTCTCACCCTTATGATCATTGTAGCATTCCAATGGTCACATGATCAAAATTAAGATGCTTGGCAATTGGCTCCTATTTATAATGGTTGCAGTGTCCTGGGATCATGTGATCAGCTTTTGCAATCTTCTGACAAGCAATGGGGAAGCTAGATTCACTTAACAACCATGTTACTAACTTAAAAACTGCAGTGACTAGAAATATTGTAAAATGGGACAAAAACTCACTTAACAAATGTCTCACTTAATATAAATTTTGGGCTCAATTGTTGTCAGAAGTCGAGGACTACCTGTATTTATGTAGATTAGATCATGTAAACTCAACCTGAAATAAAAATTGATTCTAACAGTGATACATTCCACAGATGGCTATCTGTGACAACATCATGGTTTCTATCAAACACCTATGACCCAGTGACTGGTTTTGAAATTGTTAAAAGCCATGATAAAGTTTGACTTTGGATTTTGTATGAACCAAATGACAAATCTTATAATTAAATAAACCTGTGGCTTATTTTTTTCCAAGTTTCTCAGTCAGCTTCCAAGACAGAAGTTGCTACTAACTATCAAAGTCTGTCTTTTAAGTGTAAACAAAGGTGCTCTCAAATAAAAGCCAATTCCTAGTGATTGGATCCATGCAATTTTATTGCTAACTTAAAGAGGCTGGTTGCCATTATATTTCTAACACAATGTTTCCCAGCTTCCCTATTTCACTTATAGTTTTGCAATTCACAGATGGTCCCTATCCAAGAATTAAAATATTTATTCAGAGTGAATACAACCTAGAGTTGAGGCTATTCAACTTATCCAATTTTTTACCTGAGATTTTGAACCATATACTTCTGGTCACTCAGTGGACTGGCGCTATGTTCAACAGCATCAAATTGATCACTGAAACTGTTAAGAAGAACTGTAAAGTTTCTTATACTTGTAATCTTAAATCTTAATCCATTCCTATTAGCTTTAGTAGGAGTTCTTCATAGGAGATTATCATGGAATACCAGCACCTTACATTAAATTGAGAATTTAAATCCCCAAAGATACCATGGTCAAGAAAACTGTGTAAAGTTACACAATCAGCCCAAATATTTTATTTATTTGATTTCATAATTATAAAAAGATAAACTTATTTTTGCAAAATGCAAATATTTGACTACCTAAAATTTATAGTAAGTTAACAAAATGCCCAAAAGGACATTATTTAAATTGCATGCATGGTTATGCCATATTATCACAAGGAGAAACTTTTTTCTCACAGATATGCAAATTACCCAACTAGTTCTACTAAATATGTCATCTGTATTTGTCAACATGTATTTAAGGGTGTCAAACCAGCTGCATTCTCTCCCCCTACTCCATGCAATTACTTCAAGTTCTTCAAGCACAGGCCTTCTGGCATTTAAATTTGCCTTACCGTCTTGTAACCCATATTTGTGTTGGCAATTAAGCACATAGACATTTTTGTGGACCTCTATAAAACAATGCTGCTGTTTTGTTGTTTAAGAGCACATATTTGTTTCTGTTTCCCAAGGGTTTGTACATTGCCCCATTATCTCAAACTGGTTTTTCAGAGTATGAAATAATATAGAAACCTCTGAACAAACAGAACTGATTTGGATGCAGTCTCATAAGCATCTTCATAAAGTACCTTATTAGTTGGGTCTCCTGAAGGCAGTTTCTGTTTCTCATAATATTATTTATCTGATCATGTCTAAAACCTGTGGCCCTGAGGCAGTTGAAATTTGTAGACTTTTGCAAGCAATTTGTTCAAAATTCTGGCAAAAGTAATTTGTCTCAGTCTTGATAGCCTACTGGGCAGAGAGGACAAACAAGCAGGAAAAGCCAGGAAAAGGACTTGTGTTTGATGTGGAATTGGGGAAATAAAAAAAAAATAGTTTCAAGAATAACCTGGCTCAAAACACACCAACCTTAAGTTTTGTACTGATTTTAAGAGAAGGTAATCAAATGTTAGAAAGTCTCACCTTTGAGACATGATGTAGCAATTATTCAAATATACAGTACATTTAATTACTATCTCTCTGTATATTACGGTAATAATTACTTAACTATAATTATTTTCATTATAGAATTATATTTCTATAATCTATCATATAAACCTGGGAGAGAAATGTTATTCAAAATAGAGTATTCAGAAGGATCCTCCTGTGTTTCCATAGTGATGCACTCCCAACCTTCTATGCTGCTTCATAATTTCTACTTTGTATAGGCTATTATATAGGCTGCAGCTCTTCGATGCGTATTGACACCTATTATCTATTGTTCCTAGTGTGTGTAAATATCACAGATTTACCATGGGTTACAAAAGACCTTTTTATATAAGAATTATTCCTATCATGAAATTGTAATGCACTCAGTGTCCTTCCATTTTTGCAAAAAAGAACTAAGGAACCTTTAGATCAGCCTCTTTCTTTAACCTGGCATGCCCACAAACGTGCAGCTGGGCTGGCTGAATTCTGAAAATTGACATTCATCTGTTCAGAGGGTGAACAAGTGGAGGAAAACTGGTTTAGATTCAGACGGGTACATTACTTTATGACCTATGATTAAATAATGTGATTACAGGTAGTTCTTGACTTAACAATCCTTCATTTAGCAGCCATTTGAAGTTACAATGGCACTGAAAAAAGTGACTTACACGTGATCCTCACACTTATGACCATTGCAGCAACCCCATAGTCATATGATCAGAATTTGGGCACTTGGCAAGTATTTATGACAGTTGCGGCATCCAGGATCACATGATCTCCATTTGTGGCCTTCCTAGTTATTTTTAACAGGCAAGGTCTATGGGGAAAATTGGATTCGCTTAATGAAAGCATGATTCACTTAACAACTGCAGCAATTTGCTTAACAACTCTGGCAAAAATAAGGTTGTAAAATTGGGCACAAATCACATCTGCCTTGCTTAACAATTGAAAGTCTGGTCCAATTGTAGTCATATTTTTAGAACTACCTGTACTGTACTATATTGAGTGTCCAATCCGAGTGAGTCCGAGTGTCCAATCCGAGTGAGTTTTCCGAGCTTTCGGACTCACACTGGAGTCCATCTTCAGGGAACTTCTTTCTAGCAGAGTGTCTATTCTATTGAGTTTTTAGCTTGGGAAGCAAAATTGTTCAAGTAGCCTTAACTTGAGGATTGCAGATTGCTAACTAATCAGGCCTCATTCATACTTTACCTTGAAATATCATTGCATATCTTAATATAAAACAATGTTATTATTTTCCCAAAGGTGCTTTTTCAAGAGGGGCTTTCTGGTTTTTCTTTGAAGAGGTTTTGCTTCTCATCGAAGAAGCTTTTTCAGCTGACTGGATGGTGGGGAAGCTATCCTTGCAGATAGCTGGTCATTTGCATTCTTTTAGTGAGTTGTTAAGGTCACCTGGAGGTCAGAGCTGAAAAAGCTTCTTGAATGAAAAACAAAACGTCTTCAAAGAAAAACCAGAAAGTTCAGTTGCGTCTTGAAAAACACCTTTGGAACAACCATGCCTGGATGACTGAGAATTTCCGTAGACAATGCTATTTTTTGATTTTTTTAAATTTATCTACAAATTTATTATTTGTATAAATAATTCAAAGTGGTGAATATATTCAGTCCTCCTATTTTCCCCACAACAACATCTCTCTTGGGCTGAGAGAAGCCCAAAGTCAACTGGCCTTCACTTGTTGCTTCCATTTCTACTCTGGGTAAAACACGAGACTGAATAACTAGTTCATTATTAGTCAAGTGCAATTTCATGCATCACTGACTAACACTTTTTCTAATACCAGAACTGTTAGACACCAGAATGGCAAAATGTTTCTAATAGTGGCACCGCATTAGTAGAATTCCTTCCCCGTAGAAGCCTGTCAGACATCAACACAATTTCTTTTAGATACTAGCAAAATTGTAGTGTCAAAATGCTATTCTTCCCAATCTTATTTCTTTTCTTTTAATATTTTGTTCTAGTATTCATCATTCTTGATCTTTTTTTAAACAACTGATGAATGGCATATGGCCTTTATTTTGATTTAAAATGTGCTGATTATTTTTTTCCCAGAAGTAAACACATTTATAGTAACATGAATTGACATGTTTAGCTTCATGTATAGAATATGTTGAATATGCATTATTCTGGAAGGCCACGTCCAGTAATTCAATGGTGTTTTATCTTCTATTTTTTAAAGAAATAAATACATGTGTATTCTTATACAGATTTTAAAAAACTCTTTTAAAATCAAGGTCAAATTCAGATGATATATTATTGCCATTGTTATTGTATATACGTGTATTTTCTGTATATTAATTCTAATCTATTTTCCTCTTTTTCAGGGCAACTGGCTTTGGCTTTTTAAACGCACTCTGCAAAGCAGCAGCTGTTCTTGGAAACTTAATATTTGGTTCTTTTGTTGCCATTGCCAAATCAATACCTATTTTGTTGGCTTCAACAGTTTTAGTGTGTGGAGGTTTGGTAGGACTTCGACTCCCTGACACCAGAAGCCAAGTACTGATGTAATTTGAGATGGGTGGTGGATACAAAAAAAGCCATTTATTTGCTTTCCTGTTTCTAAGTGTCATTTCTTGGATGGATGGGAGTAGGCTTCAGATTGTTGGTTCAAGAAAAGTAATTGCATAGAGAAGTTCTACCCTCAAAATGAAACCACAGCAACAAAAAATTAAGAGAAACACAAGAAAGGGGAAAGAAAAGTGAATTCAGTGGAGCCATTTGTCCCAGTATTGTGTATCTCATCAGTCCAATCCTGTTAAGTTCACACCTGTAAAATTCCAATGACTGGAGTCTACATGTGTCATTCCCTCACAGAGACAGACCTTTGCAGATAAAAAATGTGGAGGAACCTGTATGTATGTAGACACCCAAATTACATTTTTGAGAAAGGAGAAAGATGAAAATTGTGGACTGGAACTGGTGGGAATATAAGATATTAGGGGCAAAAAAAATGGCCATTGACAACCTACCCCTCAGTTCATTTAATGAGTGCATAGAGATGTTTTTGAAGACAGTTGCTATTAAAACCAAAACAAATATAACCCCTATAGCAGAGAGGGCTGGCCAGGCATGCATCACTGCAGGGCAGCTTGGCTGCCCCTGATCTGGCACGTGGTGGAATGGGGCCACCTGAGCCACCCTGAGCCTTTGGGGCTGCCCGAGCACTGCGCAGTCACCGCACATGGGAGGAAGGGTCATAGGGACCTGGACTCTTGCACTTTCTGGGGTAGGGTTATATCTCTTTTATTTCATGCTGAAAGAATAGTTGATAAAGCTTGCATAGTAGCTTCTATGAATATCCTACCTCTAAATTAAGGTTTCAAATTATATTAAGAAAAAAGGATAAAGATAATAGCCATTTCATAGAAACCTATATTTTTTCATAGAGATCATCTCTGTGTAGGAAAATGGGTTTCCAAGCCATTTCTGAAAAGTGCTTTTGTTTTGGTTGATGAAAAATAGGGTTCTAACACAAATATTATATCTAAAACAGCTTCTAGTCATTTGTGAATTTAAATAAATTGCAGCAAGGAAAGCAGCACATCCTTCTAATGCTTATTATAGTCACACAAATCAATACTATATTTTAAAAATTAGATTAATATAAACATCTAGCCCTTTCTTAGGAATAAATGTTAATCTAACAAAACTGTCTCCAGAACTACTCCTTGTAGCCAAATTTGCATATAAATATGGACAGATTAGGTAAAGTTGATCTAACACATATTATGAGACAAATTAGATTAAACGATATAATGATACTTGAGCACTAATTTCCTATATTCTTACAGAAAAAGACAAAAACCATGGCATTGTTTCTTTTGCAAACCACTATAGGAACAATGCACACATATACACAAAGATTTAGGCATGCAAAACCCTAGCCTGTTGTAACTGAATTGGTTTAAGATGAAAATAATAATTATACCAGTGTGAGCCAGCAGTATGCTGCAGCTGCCAAAAAAGCCAATGCAGTCCTAGGCTGCATCAACCGAGGGATAGTGAAGTGTTGTGTGAAGTGAAGTGATAGTGCCACTTTATATCACAATTGGAATACTGCATCCAGTTTTGATCATCATGATAAAAAAAAGATGTTGAGACTCTAAAAAGAGTGCAGAGAAGAGCAACAAAAATGATTAAGGGACTTGAGGTTAAAGCACGGAACTGGGTATGTCTAGTCTAACAAAAGAAGGAGCAAGGGTAACAATAGCAGTTTTCCAATATTTGAAGGACTCACATGGAAGAGGGGGGGTTTACCTATCCTTCAAAACACCTGAGAACAGGACAAGAAGTAATTAATGGAAGCTTATCAAAGAGAAATCCACCCTAGAATTAAAATTAGAATTACCTGACAGTGAGAATACTTAATCAGTGGAACTACTTGCCTCTAGAAGTTGTGGAAGTTCCATCATTGGAGGTTTTTTAAGAAGAGATCAGACAGTCATTTGGAATGGTATACGGTCTCTTGCTTAAGCAGGGCGTTGGACAAGATGACCTCCAAGGTCCCTTCCAGTAATTATAGTATGGGAAAATAATGCCCCTCTTTTGTTCTGATAAAATGTGTGTGTGTATAATATTTTAGCCTAGTAGAACAGGATCTTGGCTAAGTAGAAAGCGCAGCCCAGCATATCTTAGAATCAGGAAAGGTCAATTCAGACCTTGAAGTCCAATCTCCTGCTCAGTGCAAATTTTCAAATTAAAGCAAGTGAAAAAGGTAGCTAACCAGCTAACTAAGACATTTCTTTCAACCCCCCCTTTAAGAGCATTGATTTACAACTTCTATAATCTTAAAATCAATTTGCCATGCTATTTGGGAATTATGATAATTATAGTTCAGTACACTTGAAGGGAGACTTGTCAGGGAAAGCTAATTGTAGGGCTGTCTTTATATGGCCTGACAGTCATACCTACATTTTGATAAAAGTGTTTTAAGCAGATTGAACCAGTAACAGCGAGGTAAAGGTATAGATATATCCCATTGGGGGGGAAAATCCTATGTATCCTTACATACATATATAGACTTGCACCATAATCTAATACACTTATCTTTCCTCTACATTCTGACTCATTTTCTCCCCCAAAGAAATACATTAAGGTCAACCAGGAAAAGTAGACATGCCTTAATGTCTAGTAGTACATCCTGAAAAGATTTAGGCTAACTGCTTTTTCTCTGTGTGATCTATATTATTATGTTTTAAATTGTTTTTCAGTATAGATATTTGTGTTCCAATACTGATTTAACCCAAGAATCCATACTAATTGTGTCCTAAGTTTGTAGAAAATCTTGACATTGTTAATGGATTTTGTAATTATTGTCAGTTCAGTATAGCTCTTAATATTTTTCTTTTGTAATTTGGCTAACTTTTTGTAGTCCTTTAATCCTTTAACAGCTTTCCTTTCATTCAGAGGGAAGAAACTTTTAAATCTGTGTTGCCTTTAAGGGGACATTTAATACTTCTAGGTATGAAATCTGAAGCCTTGTACAGATTGTGAGTAATAATGAGTCACCAGCTGTAAACCATGCTTTTGATATGCACTGTCCGTATAAATGACATGTTTTGTCTGCTTCCTTCATGAATGTAATCACTTCAAATTCTGGAGCCATAACTAAGCTTTAGAAGGAAATCCAAACACCAGCTCCAGAGTAAGGCCAACATAATAAAATTTCATTATAGTTACAGTCATGTTACTTTTTCAGACTCTAATAATATTTTGACTCCAGATTACATTCTCATTAAGGATGTAAGCTTGGCCAAATTCAGGATACAACCTTGGCAAGATCTAGTCAAAAAGAGAAAGTACACTTTAAAGATTAAAAGGAGGAAGTGCACAAAAATAACCAAAGACATCTGTATTCATCTTGTCTGAAATATATAACCTGTAATACTTGTAAATCCTTTTGTGTCTGTGACTGCATTTCTCCACTTCCCTATTTAAATAGGGAATAGCAGGGTCTAAAAAGCATCAAAGACAGTGCAAAGATACAATGGGATGTGGCAGAAAGAAAGTTCCAAAAAACGTTTACTAAAAACGAATATACTACAGCACATAGAGTTGTAAACAAATGCAACCTATGCAAATGATAGGCTGTGGCTAAGATTTATTTATTTACTTACTTAATAGACCGCCCAACTCCATTGTGATGTTGCCGATGTTTGATTACTTATATTAATCCTCTAATGATCAAAATGCCATATATGTAAAATAAATTTGCTTGAACTGTGTTATCACTTTTCATGTAGTGCTTAACTAACTTTCAATTCAAAAAGGAAGAGATAAAACTGTGGACATCTCTTTGTCGGTTCTTAGGTTACATGTGCTATCCCTCTCACCAGATCTTGAGATAACTTCAAATACTGTAAACACATAGGGGAGAAGATAAGAAGTATTCGCTACTTTTCTTTTTCCTGTCTTGCACAGAAGGTCAGCAAATAGTGAATCTTTCCTTGCAGAGAAACAAAGATTCAAGAGGACGTGATATGCTCTACTACATGGCAGGTCTATAAGGTGTTGGTTTCTGTGAAAGTGGGAAGAGAATTGTCTGATTTGCTCTCCTCCAGACTGTCCTGAACATGAGAAAATATTGTCAGAAGCAAACCTCATGTGCAAGACTAAAGTTGACTAAAATCAATTGACTTAAAATGTCAGTTTAAGAAACTGCTTTCTGCCCTTCGTACATGTGTGCTAAGAAAATATGGGGAAAGTATGGGATACTTTAGACAAGGGGTGTCAAACTCAAGGCCTGTGGGCCGGATCTGGCCCAAGGGGTGCTTAGATCTGACCCGTGGGGATGCGCTGGAAACATTGAAGGACCAGCCTGTGGTGCCTCTGCCAGTGAGAATGGAGCACGGGACAGCTGCTCCGTTTTCAGCTGCAGTGGCCTCCTGTAGCCCTCTGCCAGCAAAAATGGAGCTCGGGGAGGCCTCCCCAGAGGGCTGCAGGAGACTGTTGCAGCCTAAAACGAGTGACATTGAACTGGCCACAACCCTCCCAAGGTTAAACACAACCCTGCTGCAGCCCTCAATGAAATCAAGTTTGACACCCCTGCTGTAGACTGCACATCTGAAATGTGTTTCTAGATTTGAACAGAGCAATGTTGCATTGACATAATCATTTCAAATCCCAACTTCCAGTCATCCCAATATGCACAGTTAAATATTCAGTCATAGGGATTTCTGTTTGTGCACCTTGAACCCCTTGGCTTTGAAACAGTACCAAACCTGTGGTAAGGTGATTCAAGATGGCCAGTAATAATGTGTTTCCTAGATGTGGATCCTGTTCTGTGTCAATTAGAGCACGTTTCCATGATTAAAGCTGAAACTAGTTCTTCCTTTTATCCATCCAAGAACTATCTCCGCTATCATTTGTAACTTAATGTGAGTCATGTAAATGTGGCTGGCCCCCCCATGCTCACTTCAGAATCAGTGTATGTACCTAGTTGTGCATATCTAACACATCTCTTTTTCTAGTAAATGTTTTAAAGTAGATTTGGGTTTGAAAAATTGCAGGATATGCAAAGAGAGCTGCTATTCTCAAAGAGTGGGGAGCAGGATGGGGCTGAGGGAATCAGCATTTTTCTCTGAACTTCCTGTCTTCCTGTTAAACCAACCTCGTTATCAAAACGTAGGCCCTTGCTTCATATTAATAACGTCTGTTACTATCAGGCAGGAAACACAGCAGGAAGCACTGCTGCATACTCACCAATGGTTCTTGAATGTTTCTTCTTTGTGATTTCTGTATCCTTAAATAGCAGGACACAGAAACATTCGATATGTGCCACTGATACCTATACTGACCTGTTTAGAAGTTCAGGCAGAAGCTATGATGGTGCTAATAGTCTCTGTCCCATGTCACTTGATAACCACATCTTTCCATCTTGAAGCTAAGTTCTGTACAACTAACACCACTATCTGTTTACTATGCACAGGATGGACCTAAAAGCCAGTGAATGTGGCTGGCAGCTTTAAAACAAATGTCATGCATAACTGCAAACGGTATTTCTAAATTGTGCTCTGTGATTATGGCATGGATTTGGCAAAAATGAGGTGTGGAAACCTATATAATTAAACACCCACGTGCAAGACCTAGGCTTCAAATTGCTTTTTAACCCCAACTGAAGATCATCACATTAATTTTGAGTGTGCCATAGACCTACAGTATCACACTTGCATATTTTTCTGCTTTATAATAATTCATAACTCAGCATTTGCTGGTTTTTTGCTGAGCTATTAACATTTGCTGAATTGTTTAGTTAGCTTCGTTTACCCAGTGAGTTCAGATTTTTTTTTCTGTTTTTCCTTTAATCTGATCGAGGCACTAAATATGTGTAATGCCAAGTCTTTCACTT